GCTTTTGTCATTTCTTTTACTTTGCTCCTCTATAATGTTAACGCGTCCTTTTACAAATGACAAGGGCTTTGGTGTTATCCATGTCATGTTGTTAACGGAGCAAGAGAGATAGACTGTATAAGGATTGTCAAACTGTAATTCTAATGTGGGAGAAATGTAGTTTTGCTAAAGGTAAATTAAATAGGTTTAATTAGTGTATTTTTTTTAAATTAGCAAAAGTGGGGGAAAAGGGGAGAGGGTTGTAATTTACCAACATTGTTTTTTAATAGCACACCAATTAATCTTATTCTTTGATCACAAATAGGTAATTTATATTTGCCAAGAAAAGGGTATTCTCTTCTCGCTCTCTCTCTCTCTGTATTGGTTTTAGGCGCGTATGTAGAATGTTTACCATTTCACTATTATAAAACAGTTATGGAAAATAATTATTGCTATTGATTCATTGTAATTATTACTATAAAATAATTTAATTAATTATATCATTTAATTAGAAAATATTAAATAATTTAATTTATTTAAATGTTTGCTGATTAAGAAATAACATTTTGCGCGCCCTCTGCAATTGAAGTGACAATGATTGTTATTGTTTTCGCCACCCTGTCATGTTGCTAACGGAGCAAGAGAGTGAGATAGACTCTATAAGGATTGTCAAACTGTTATTTTTAGATGGAAGAAACGTAGTTTTGATAATTAGCAAAAGTATATAGAAATCATTAGAAAAGGTAGGGGTAGTAGTTAAATAACATAGCTTTTTAATAGAACACTAATGCATGTTATGATTTTGTTCATATGTTATCACTTTCTCTCTCTCTCGCTCTCTATTCTTGCTATAGACTCGAAAAAGGTAATGTTGTCTGCCATTACATTTGAAAGCAGATATGGAAAATTGTATTTTTAGATCAAATTTTGGGGCCATTGAATTGAAAAAGATGTTGAGGAGGAAGAGGAGGAGGAGGGAGGGAGTGTGTGCGATAACAAGAAATAATAAAAGTTATGTTTATTGTTTAATTTAAAATTTCCTCAATATAAATGCTGTGCAAAAGTCGGAGAGAGAGAACATTCGCACAGGACAACAAACCAAATGTCATTTCTAATGTAGAGATGGAAAATTGTAATTTGATTTGAATTGAATTGTGTAGTGGGTGGAAGGAGTTTATTATCAAAACTATGAAATATGCTTAATTTAAAAGTTTTTTTTAGCATTTATTAATTAATAAAGTTTGCAAATATTATTAATTAATGGAAAATGATTTGTAAAATTTGTAAACTATGGTAGGGGGTTAAAAACAATTTTTTTCCTGTTACTGACTGCAATTATCGATTATCAATTAATATATTACAAAGTTAGACGGAGAAAATTGTCACAAAGAAATGTAAACGAATTAATAATTGAATGATATAGTTGTTTCCATGGTATAATAATAGAAGGTAACAGCAAGTGTTGTTGTACAACAAACGATACAACAACCACATGGAAATTTGTTTTTGTAAGTTATACTAGTGTCAACGTCATTTGACAGAAAAATGTAAACAAACAAATAAATTATATTTATTTTGAAAATAAAATATTTTCGAATCCTCAAAATAAAATTTGAAAAACATGAATGAAAATCTATCAAATTTATATTTCTATCGCTTCCACATCTTTCCTATAATTGAGCTATTGCCACTTATATGTGTAACACATATGAAAGTGCAGAGAATTGAGAGTTATTCAATGAAGAAAGATTTGCTTCCTCAAACTTTCCCAACAGGCAGATTGAGTAAAATGAATACGGGAGGAACAAAATGAACAATTTTGAATTGTATGCGTTCCCAATTTTCCTGTTGGGTGATTTTTAAAAACATAATTTGTCAAATTCATATTGACTCTAGTATTACGATGGAATCAAATCAGCTGGGACTTGCTGTTACCTTTTATAATTGTACCATGAGTTGTTTCTAAGAAGATGTGTAATTATATTTTATTCATTGATAATGTTATAAAAATCATATCATTTATACTCAAAATCAAAGATAATTTTTCAAACTACATCCCCCCTCATCCTTTTTTGTCATGGCAAAACAATTTGTTCTTAAATAGGATTTTTTTGTTTTTGTAAAACATCTTATATAACAAATTTTTGATTTGGAAAAAAATATTGAGATTTTTTTTTCTAAAAGTCATTCATTTAAAAATATCTACAAAATGTTTGTCCGTCCATACGTCCCCTTTATCATCTTCATTAATATGTATGAGTGGTAGTGTCTGAATTTGAATTTTGTGTTATTTCATAGTAGAAAATAGAAAAAAAATAATAATAAATATGTATGTAGCAATTGTTGTGTGTGAATGTGTTTGTTTTTTTTTCTGGATGATAAGAATAAGAATGGATGTTGTCATTTCAATTCAATTTGTCAGTAATCTTATCGGTTGACAATTCAAAAAAAAAAGTAGAGGCCACTACAACAACAAATAACATATATATGCTTCTCTCTATGTACGCATGTAGTTGTCGTCGTGTGTCAACTACAAAATAATCGACGCGAACGACTATGCAAAAAATAATAATAATGATAACTGATAACTCTTAAAAAATATTAGTAGTAGTAGAAAATAAAGTGATAGTATCTAAACACAACCAGAGAGTCAGGAGTCAGTGGCATATTTTTTCGCCGGCGTGCAAAACCAAAGGAAAGAGTTAGCGGCTAATGGCACAAAATGACAATTATTTGTTTTTATGCAATGCTCTTCCAAATTTCCCGTTGCCAATAAGAAACACACTCTGACTCTAAACTCTCTGGTTTTGTTTAGACTCATACTCATCAAAACTTTTTTAAAACAATTAAATGAAGTTTTTTTCTTTTTTTGTAAAAACAATCCAAAGTGAAATCGTTGTGAATGAGCGAACGACGACGAACTTCTATTTTTCTCCTTTTGGCTACTACCTTTTTTCGTCTTCTTCTGCTTATGCTACATTATATTATGAATCATTACACACATTACAGACAGACAGACTGCTATCCGTCTGTGACAGACAAATGGACAACAAACAGTCTGTTTGTTTTATTGGGATGACGAAGACTTGGTCGTTCGTGATGATGATCACCATCATCACTCAATATGTTGAGGTTTCGTTACGTTTTCTTTTATGTTTGTTTTTGGGGTCTCTAGAATAAAATTGAAACCAAAATAAACGAAAACAATCTAAAAAGAATGATGAAGCAGGTGCTGCTGCCAGAAATTTTTATATATATGATAAAAATGTTGGTGTTGGCGGTATCATCGGCCGTGTGGTGTCTTTGTGACGAAAAAGCCATTATAACCCCCCAAAAACACTTATTTTATAAATAGCCCCTGACTGGCTGACTGACTTGGGCTGGCTGGTTGGTTGGTCACAGGATGGTTGTTTGGTGATGAGACAAGAAATTGCCATATAAAATGTATATTGATGACTCATACAATATCATTCAGGCTGCCTGACTGACTGGCACACAAGAGCAACGAAGCGACGACCCGATGTTGTATTTTGCCATACAATAAATTGCGCCTTCTTCCAACAGTACGGAACGAACTGCGTTGTTTTGACGTAAAAATAGCAGCAGCCGCCGCCGCAGCAACGGCATTCAAAGGCTAAAAATGCCTGTAAACACACAAGAAAGAAAAAACATTAATAATATTTATGTGTGTACAAATATATATTTTGTTTTGCTTTGTTTTTGTCTCTACTTTTCCTCCTGCTCTGTATTAACGACCTTCAACTTGTGGTGGCGTGGTAGTAGTCGTCATCAACTCTTCCTTCTTCTACTACTCCTTTTTGTGGGGTTACAGCCTTTATGATATTAATAAATGTAATCGAAATTGGAATATATCAACAAATTGTTGGATAGATGTACGGGAGGGGGTATATGAACGACGACAACAACCACGGCTACCCAATAATGGTCGACAAGGAAGTTGGCGATGGTGGTGGGTAGTATTATTTTGTGTTGGTAGTAGAGGATGAATCATTTCTATTTGTCAATTTTTTTGTTTACAATGTTATTAGCCTTTGGCATACTTCTACATAAATGGAATCTTGGTTACAGGAGGGAATAGTAGTGGGAATTTTGATACTTTTTTTTACCATATTTTGGGTTTTGACTGAAAATATATGTGTTTTATTAGGATCTCTATATCTATAATGCATTCCTTTCTTACCGAATAACATATCTGCACTGGTCCAAAAACTGCAAGAATCTTGTAATAATGGAAGTTTTTTTTACATTGTCCTTATATATTTCACAAATGTTCCCAGTAGTTGCAGCAGTTTGCCTTTTATTTGTGAAAATTCCAAATTTTCTTCATTTTGTGAAACGTTTTATTCTACACGGATCCAAATAAGTGTATTTCTTTAAAATCTGTTCAAAAATATATATAATAATTGTTTTATTTTCCTTTACATTTTTTTATCTGCTATTCCTAGAATTTTTTCTCAGTTTAATCTCCATGGATCTCAAGAATTTTTTTCCCATTATTTATTATTAATTAGCTTTCTGTGGCCATTTTTTCCGTTGCATCCCACTATAATGCATTTCGATTAATTAATAATCGATAATTGCCGCCTGTTTTGCATTGCCTCTTTGAGGTATGTCAAAATAACGCTCTTTGCTATTGACCGCCATTCATTGATTTCTTTCAGGATTTTTTACTATGATAATCCTTAAAATTCATCGCAGGATAATAATTTATAATCTTTTTGGATCCAATATATCAAAATTTATTAAAATCTTTTGAAAATTGTCTTTAGAATCGTTAAAAAACTTCTTATTTGTTATTCCTTCCTCTTTAACATGTCAAAGCTAAATGAAGAGAGACTCTCTCAACACATTTTTAAAGTACAGGGATGGGAATATGCAATTTTAAATGAACTATACTATAGATTCTTTTTTATTTCTAAAAAATTATTTATTTTTTATATGCATTTCAAAACTAAAATTCTAACCACAAATCCTCTTTTCTTCCCCTTTTCTCTTTGCAGAAGATGCCCGTAAAACTGGTTCGCGAGTTTTACTACATTGCCATGCGGGAATATCTCGCAGTGCCACAATTGCCATTGCCTATGTTATGCGCTATAAATCGCTATCGCTGTTGGAAGCCTATAAATTGGTGAAGGTGGCCCGACCAATTATATCACCGAATTTAAATTTTATGGGTCAGCTATTGGAATTGGAGCAAAGTTTAAGGTTAAGCGGTGTTCTGGAACCCATATCACCAGCTAGTTGTCCGGCAGCACCATTACCACCCACACCACCATCTAGTCAAAATAATGATGATGAGGACGATGATGAGAAATGTCAACAAAATGGCGAAAAGTCCTGCAACACAATCATCACTCCCACAACAATTGTAACACCCACATCGACAAAATGCAATGATACAATGATGGATTTGGATGAGTGTGATAGTGGTCACAGTAGTGGCGGCAGTAGTAATTGTTCATCAAGGCTTACCTCACCGCCCATAACACCCGAAGATGAGACACCCTGCACATCAACATCAGCTGCGGCGGCAGCCTCGTCGTCGTCATCATCCTCTTCAGCGTCATCGTTGTCATTATCACTTTCGCCACCATCACCTGCAGCAGCGTCATCATCATCAAATCATTTAAGTGCTACCCGCCCTTCACGCTTCAAACGCAACTCACCAGCAAAACTAAGGCTTAATTTACAATCAACCTACGCCCCCATACCCAAATCTTTATCCTGCATGACAATACACAGCGCCGGCATAAGTCCCATATGTAAAGAACCACCCGCAACACCTTCATGTGAAATGATGGCGGCCCCCGCCGCCATGGGCTTTAGCAGCAGTAGCACCAATAGCAACAGCAGCAGTCATACTGATTGAAACTTTACTAATAAAGCAGTTCCTGTTTTATTTTTATTGAAAGTAATTTAAAAAACAAAACCGAGAAAGCATAATTTTCTGCATATTGACATTTGCTGAATTCAACCTACCAAACAACAACAATGGGATACAAAATTTAAACAGATATAAAACCAACATAGCCACCGCAGAGAGACCAGTACGTTCTACACAACATTGTATGTGATAAAGACTAGGAGGTGAAGGAAACAAAACCACAAACCCACAAGAGAGGTGTGCGGGAAGGTATCATAACACAATGTTATGGCTACAACAAAAAGAAGAAAAACTAGAAGTTTTTATAAGCCTGAGAATTTTTAGTTTTGAAATTTTTGTGGTTCCCTATAATCCCCACAAGAACAAAAAAAAAACAGAAAGGCAATGGTCTTTAAAGACTCCATGACCTTGGAAGAGAGCCTTTCAATGAATAAGGAGCTCAAACGGGGTTGCCATTTTAAAATTTGTATCCCTTGTGTCGTAGATTTGAGAGTGCGAGCAAAGAAGTCATCTATTTTTATGGACAAAACTGTTTTAAGTTTTAAACTAATTTTTATTAGCATACGTAACTATAACGTACAACCTATGTACAAACAACAAAAAAACCCTATTTGGGAAATTCATTCAAACACATCACCCGCAACAAACAAACCAACATAAAAGCTAGCCAGCCAGCCCCCCAAGCAAGCAAACCCTACACAAACAAACTTTCTTTACATATACATATATATATAGTAAAAAAGGACCCATACCCTTTAAGATTTTAACCTTAAAAATATATATCTATACAATTTACCAAGCAACTCTAAAATACAAATCGGAGGACATTGTTTTATTTATTTCTTTTAATATTAGTTTATAGTTATATGATTAATTTATAAAAAAAACAAAACCCCTATTTTTTAGAAAATAAAAAATACCCCACTAGAAAAGCAAGAAACACCCCACGGCCCCCTCTACTACAAATAGAAACCCGTATCTTTTTCAAATGAATTTTCAAACACTTTTTTGAATACGTTCTATATAATTGGAATTTAAATTTGTGATTTATGTAAATAAAAAAAATTAATTACATATATACATAAAAAAGAGAAACACATATATATTTATATACAAAATCTTATATAATATATATACTACTACCTGGAAACAATAACAATAAATACAAAATACAAAAACACACATATTCAAGAGCAGCGATATTTGTAAAACAAAACAAAAAACAATTTACATATATAGTATATAATGACATATGCATACATAATTAGTCATTTATCCTATGTTTAAACTAATCTTGTTTTTTTAGATACGAATATTGACTAAATTTTCCTCTGTGTAGCTAACAAACAACAACTCTGATATATCTTTCGTTTTTGTTATTATTTATTTTGTTTTTCTTTTTTGGCGTTCGAAAGTGTGTGTGGGGTTCTTAAAAACAAATATATGTAAAAAAATTAAAAAAAAAAACATATAGTCCCTAAGTCATTCTCTATACATATACTACTATGTACACAATAAGGCATACATATATTATATATACACATAATATATATACAATTGAAACAAAAAAATCTATGTTACCTATGTATGTATTTTAAAAAAGAAAATATTTTTTTTTGGAAAAAAGAAAATCCGCAGAGAAAAAAATTAAATGAACTATATAAATATTAATACAAAAAAAAATTATTGGGTTTTATTTCTTATAGTAAAATAAACTTGTTATCAGGGAACACAGTAGGACATTCAAATTTTGCACAAACATTGCTACTTCCTCAATGATGGTTGATATAGAAAATGTTAGAATATCCTCCAGATGACAATACCCCCCTTTTCGTTAGTCTGCTTTATGGGGATTAGTAATATTTCTGGTAAAGTAGGTAAAGTCCAACCATATAAAACTATCTACCCTATTAAACATTTCAACGGCGTCAAAAAACAACGCAATAATGCTACCAATTAAAAATTGCAACGTCGCAATGCATGCAATGTAAAAAGCAACGCCGTCAAAATATCATCCATTTGACATTTACATAACATTTTACAAATATTTTTTTTTCTTTAATTTTCATTTGGCAACCGTTAAATTTAAAATCAAACAGCATGTGAAAACAGTTGCAAATTTTGGTACATTGTGTGAGAGTTGCATTTTTCGAACAAAACCCGCGTTGCACCTCAGTAGTATCATGATTTCGATCATGATTTAAAATAAATCCTGCTGCACGATGATTTAATTTTGTATGGTAAATTTAGTCTGATTCAGAAAATAAAACCCGTTTCAGCATTTGATCCTGATTAAATGTTATATGTCAAGCCGCTTTTAGTTTATTTTATTAATCAGCTGATCGTTGTACGTCAGCAACGCCGTCACACATTAACATTTCAGTATGGCTCAGTTCTCTTTTTAGTTTCCATCCCACATCATTCGTAAACAATTCAGCTCCCATTTGGTGTCCATTCCATCCCACCTCATTCGTAACATTCGGTTCTCCCATTTGACTTCTTCTTTATCGGATATTTTGTCTTATCCCATCCCATTCGTAACAGGTGGAACGTTTTTCATCTGGGATCGGTGAAAAAGGCAAGAGAAAAAACAAACACGGCAATGACGCCATTAAGATAAGATTGTTTTTTGTTTGTAAATAATTTTTTTATTCAAATTGTTAATAAATATGAATGTGAAATTTAAAGGACACATAAGAAATTGTAAACGATGAATATATCTGCTGCAGAAACTGCAATAATTATAGACTTGGAACGTTTACAGCAGTTGAGTTATGAACGTTCCAAATTGTGGGCCACTTTTCTTGGTGTACGTAAATCTATGGGAATTTCAGCAATGAAACCAACAATATTTAATGAAGTTAAGTTTTGTTTTCTTTTACAGAATATCCAAGAATCCGAAAATCAAAGTGAGATTGCCTTAGACAAAATAGAGGAATTTATAGGAGTTTCCCCGGAGGATGAAGAGGAAGACGACGACGATGATGCATTAGCGTCAATGGAAGATGACAACTATGAGGATAATGTTGATGCGGAGGCCTTGCGAGATATTACCAATTCGACACGTCTATCATTGATGGTTGGTGGTGGCATAAACAAAAAAACTTTGATGCCAGCAGATTCCACGAATAATGGAGCAAATAATGAATTAATTGGAATGCTCAATGAAACATTACCCGTAATTAATGAACACAATCGTAAAATGAAGGAGGCTGGGTGGGAGCGCATTCTAAATACATTTGATGCTAAGAAAATTGAAGAAAAAGTTGGCGGTTGGTTGAGAAGAAATAATTCCTTGTGTGGTGGAGGTGGAGGGAATGTTTCAAGTGATTTATCTTCCATGGTCGATAGCAGTAACGATAGAAGAATACCTTCTCACAATCATGTTCGACATTTAAAACATTTGCCTTTCCCAAGTATGCTGCCATTGAAGAGCTATCAACCTGAGGATGAAAACGGCGATTCGGATGCTTCATTTAATTCCGGTGAAACGGCACGTTATATCAAATCGAGTAGAAGGGCGAATATTAAAAATTTGGCGTCCACTACAATGATGATAAAAACCTATCGAATGGTTAAGAGTACACGCCAGGCATTGAGAGATAAATATGGTGGTTACGATCCAAATGAGTTGGCGGATTCATATTTAAATGAGCTGAGACTACGTCGTCGGTTAGCCAAAGATGCAGCTATGGATAATTACAATTATAATGAAATACATCATCGTTCGGCTAGATCTCATAAAAATTTCAATCGCATGTATCAATATATGATACCCACCACCGCACATGTCATTACCAATACCAGGAGGCGTAAAGTGTTACGCAAACGTACAACCAGTAATAGCTTTAGCGCAATGGATGAATCGTCATCTGATTCGGATAATTGTTATGACCATGGCGGAAGCTATCATCGAAAATATAAAATGTGCTGCCCAGAATGGCACTGCTCAAAATATGTGACACCACCAGGACGCCAGGGTTTTATGGCTCACCCGACACCGCATACAGCAACAATAAAACGTTCACTATATCGTCAATATCGCAGTCATAACACGCCAATGTATGCGCTTAGTGATCACAGACTGTTCTACCATACTCCACTTTTACCAGATTCGTTCCGCCAACCGACGATGACGGTGAAGAAATCATTAAAACGTTTGGACAACCGTTCATGTCGAAAGGAATCCGAATGTCGATGCTGCGATCAGCAACGGCTATGCAAGAAATATAAGTAAGTTCGGAAATATTTGCAACATATTCCCTTTTTATTTAATACTCAAGCCCGGCAAGGCAAACTACGCCACACCAAAATCATATTGGCCAATAAGCCTAACTTATTTTCTACTCAAAACCATGGAACATACAATCGACACCATGATAAAGAGCAGTATACCCAATGATCCGCTGAAATACAAACAACATCCGTATGAAAAGGTGAGATCAGTGGACACCGCTTTACATGAAGTAGTACACTATATTGAGGGCACCTTCGCGGAGCCTTAAACAATGTAAGCACTAATACGCTTATCCAATCCTTAGATACCTTCCAAGTTTACCGGGCAATCATAGACTAGGTTAACTATATGCTAAGGAATAGATGGATTAGCTGTAGCATACATGACATAACAATACGAGACAAAGTAGGTCAGGGAATTTGGGAGATTTTGACCACTCCTGTGGGTAACTACGATAAATGGACTCTTAATGGACTTAACCGATGAAGGGTTTGAACCAGTCTGTTATACAGACGATGTTATAATACTTCTTAAAAATCATAATTTACTATGCAGGAAAGCCGAAATGGAGCTAAAAATCGCCTACGATTGGGCAAAACCGAGGGGCTTAAAAGTAAATCCGGAAAAAAACTGAGATATGTCTTTTCACTAGAAAGACAAAAATAGGTCAGTACGAAGAGCCCATCTTCCAAAACAAAACGATAGCCATATCAAACAATGTTAAGTATCTGGGAGTAATACTAAACAAGAAACATAAATGGAAAGACCACATACAGCAAAGGGCTGACAAGGACCATATATGTTGGTATTTCTGTAGAAGAGCCGTAGGGGTTTCAATCCAAAGATAAGAGAGTTTTTAGACCAATTCTAACAAACGCTTCTGTTGTCTGGTGGACCGCAATGGACAAAAATCATAGACAACAAGATAGCAAATCAACTAGTCAGGAGTGCTACTCCACTACCTACAATAGATGTGAATACGGACAAATCGATCTGAGGAGGTGTGAATGGAGAAGACTGAAGGACTTCACAAAAAACACGGAATTCCTAGATTCATTTGGGCAATCAAACCCAAATGTTTTTAATCTCAACTTTCACTAATTCTTGACTTTCTCCGCATTTATAGAGCGCACAAGAGTCCTCAATTGGCTTATGTGTATGTCCTTCTCATGTTGGACATGTGTTGGTATCATCCAACCCTCTCTTCAACCTAACCTATTATTAAACTAATTTATTTTTGTTTTTTTTTTCAGACACTTGGCCGACACATCCACGGAAGAATGGATTGTAGAAAATAGTTTTTCACCTGAAAAAGAGTCAGCTGTGATGACTTCTACACAGCTATCTTCTTCAGCAAAGTGCCAAGTGCAGCAAGCCATTGCAGCAGACCAAGACCATAATGGTAAAGATAATAAAACTCAAACACATGAATCCGGAAATAAAGAACCAGTGCCATCTATGCCTCAGAAACCTGAAATGAAAATTTCAAAGATCTCAGAAAAAAAAGCATACAAATAAAAAAACCGCAAGAAAAAGGCCATCATCCAAGAAGGCCACAAAGAAAACTTCTAAGTCGTCAAAGAAGAATAATGATTTGGATTCTATCAATGATAGCTTACAGTTGGAGTTACAAATTGCTTTAAAGGAATCCGAAGATATCTACAAAATCGAACAAATGAAGAAACAGCAAAAAGAGAACCGCAATTCCGGAGAAATTACCAATGTTGAACCATCAACAACTTTAGCGGCCGAGGAAGCATGTACCGATTGTAAAGTAGTTTACAATTCAACAACAGTTGGCAATAGGAAAAATGAAGAGAATTTGGCAAAAAATAAAAAGAACTTGGACTCAGAAAATCATGACAAAGGAAACGAGGTAGAAGAAAGCAACAGCCTTTCAAAATCGAAGAAGGAAAAGGTGAAGACAATTAAAAAGGCTACAAGTTTGAAAGTAGAATATAAAAATGATGAGGAGTCCAGTCCTCAAGATTATCATGAAAATTCACAAGCCTTAAGAAAATGTGATGAAAAAGAAGCGACAAATAAAACCCAGCTACATATGTATATCGATTACACTGCAACAAAATGAAACTGAAATACCAGAAGGCTCCCATGAAGATAAGAAATCGGTTTCAATCATCTGTTCTCGAAATAAGAATGAAACCAATACAGCAGACAAAGAGCCCATTAGAAAAAGAAGAAAAAATATGACATTAAGTAACACTAAATCGAAATCTAAAAATGTTACCATAGAGGAGGAAACTATTTCCGCTCAACCTAGCGCATCAGATAGAATTGCAGACGTCAGGCAAAATATAACTAAATCGATATCTAAAAATGCTACCTTGGAGGAAAATATTTCCGCACAATCAAACACATCAGAAGGTATTTCGAAAGACGATCGAAGTAAAACTAAAAACATGGAGGACAAGATTTCTGCACAACCAAACAGATCAGATCGTACATCAGAAGGCAATGAACATTTTTCAATTTCGAAACACACTAACAAATCTAGAGTTGAAGAAATCCAGGAAACTTTACAGCTGGAAATAAATACCTCTAACGAATTTGCCTTCAAGAAACCACACACAAAAAAGACAGCGAAAAACAATGAAAAAGAGACTAATAAAACCGACAGTGAAGCGAATGTTACACATAAACAATTGAAAAGGAAAAATAAACTCTCCCGATCAATTAGAACTTCCAGTAAACCATCGAATCAAAGTCTTCGTAATCGTATTATCTCCGATGATGAAGAAGAAATCCCAGCAAAAGTTCATCAAATAGAAGAAGAAACGACAAGTCAAAACCGCAACAACAACAATAATAGTAATAATAATAAATCTACAAATAACAACCTGAGCAGCAACATTGCCAATGTTACTTCGACAACCATGCAGCAGTCACCTTCTCCCAACAAGAAAGAATACTGCCGATCACAAAATAGGAAAATGATATTACAAGATACGCATAATGATAGAGATGATGATATTGATTGTACGATAGTATCATCGACAACAACGAATTTGGAACCACCACCCGAAAAGTTCAAGTTCAAAAGTCCAAGTTCATCATCGACCAGCATTGCGGAAGCAAACAATCAGAATAACTCCATTGTTACCCCGCATCACATTCCTAATAAGAGTATTCTAATTTATGCACCGCACAAATCATCTCTGGCTCCACCACAAAGTTTTAGCCAAGATGGTGCCTCTTTTGTAATCACTCACGAACATCTGAGTCAAGTCATTGGACCCAAGGCAGCAACAAAATTCCTTAAATATTATATTGGGCGTCGACGTTTCAATAGTAAATCGACAATATATTTTAAACCGCCAGCAAGTGGAGTAGTGCCGGTCACTACTGAGGATTCCTCATCTAGCGATGATGATGATTTGGAATATATTGGTCAATATGGCGATCTATATGAATCGTTTGAGAATAATGGTGACGGTAGTTCACATCATCATGACAGTGGTGGAGGCCGTAAACATTCCTAGAATATACCCACTATGTGTGGATATTTGTTTGTTTTTTTTTTAATCTGTCGTTAAATTTACAGTTTTGTAATTTAAGCCTTAAACAATAGTGTTAAAAATAAATACTTTTTTAAACAGTTTTTAAAATTATGAAATTTTATTTTTTTTAAATTATAAATATTTCGAATATTTTTTAGTCGCTCTTCGAATATATTTTATTCGAAGGGGAAGAGCGAGTATATTCACATGGAATTGACATCCAGAATAAGGCTGAAAGTAAAATTGGTCGGTATATTTAGTGGTAGTGGTAGATGTCAGTAATTGATATAAAACAAAAGGTAACGATCGATGTGATTGTAATTTAATATTTTGTATTTTTGAAAATCTTCATACCAAAATATTCGTACAATTATCGTCCATTTGTAGGTAAAGTCCACCCATATAAAACAATCTATCTCTACCCTATTAAACATTTCAACGGCGTCTAAAAACAACGCAATAATGCGACCAATTAAAAATGCAAGGTCCAAAGCATGCAAAACAACGCCGTCAAAATATCATCCATTTGTCATTTAAACGGCTTTAGAGTCTAAACGCAACCAGAGAGTTACGAGTCAGCGTCATACTTTTTCGCCGGCGTGAAAACCAAACGAAAGAGTTAGCGTTAGCGGCACAAAATGTCAATTATTTGTTTTCATTTTCTGACAGAAAATTTTACGTTGTGCAAACCAAAATCAATTTATTATTTAATAAACAATAATGTCAAGGAATTTGGATAAAATTATTGAAAAAAAATATTTTTCTTCCATTTTATTAATAATTCATTAAAAAACATCCACAATCTTTGAAAATATTTATTTTTTTTTTTTTTACAGTACTGCCATATGTTTTGATATAAATTCTCATTGAAATTTGGTAGCACTGTTGATTTTTACCTAAAATATGGCAACTCAATTGCGAGCAAGAGAGAAATTTTGAGTATGACGCTGAGCAAAAATGAATAAAATCTATTCTAGCGTCATGCCGCTAGACGCGAACGTCAGCCGTCGCGATTTCCCGTTGCCTATAAGAAACACACGGCAAACGACTGTCGCTGACTCTAGACTCTATGGTTGCGTTTAGACTCTTAAAGAAACGCACGACCCAATGCAGTGAAAAAAGCGACGGCGTCAAAATATCACCTCTTTGACATTGCCGTTTCTCACATTCCCGCCATTTAGTTTGTAAACAAACTGTATTTGTTGCAAATTGTTTTTGTTAAAAGCATTGCAAAAATGGATTTTAGACGCAAATCGAAAGCGCGCATTGAACGAAAACCCGAATATGAGAATTTGGAACAAAAATATAAACACAATGTGCTCCTGTATCGTTTGCCACCGACCGAAGATATTAAAATACAAGAATTTGAAGATTTGGCCTTGGAACGTTTGAAAGTCTTGAGGATTTTGGAGCAGGCACAGGCCAAGGGTTTACGATTTCTATCGGATGATTGGAAGGAATATGTCCACGATGAATTATCACGAGAAGGTCTGAAGGGCTATTTGCGTCTATGTACAAATGGTGGTAATACAGCGGCAAATAATATAAGCAAACATGAGTTTGAGTTGCAGGCTCGCCGACGAGACTACATTTCACATTTTATTTTGCGACTGGCCTATTGTCGTACCCAGGAGCTAAAGAGGTATGTGCCTGAAATTATTTTCGTTTTGTTTTAGTAATAATTATTATTTCTTTATAATCATATATCTATATTTGGCCGAACCAAATATTGATATAATTTTGAAGTGTTTTCAAGTCTTTATTGCAACAATTTCATGCTTCCCGAAAGATGTGTGTTAAAATTTTTGTTTTAAGATGCTCTCTCAACGGCTACACAAAAATCGTTTATGTCCCACATTGTCGTATCTGCCGATTTTCAGCATTTAAAGGTCTTGGGGAAACTATTTAACCCATATATTAATTAACCTATTCAAGAAATGAATTAAATCGTAATCTAAGAATCCAGACATTGCATATTAAATTGAAGCTTTTTTATTTTCTTTCAAATTTTCAGTTGGTTCATTGCCCGCGAAATGGAATTATTCAAGTATAAATTTTCCGCCATGACCCCAGCCGAAATAAAACAATTTCTCGATTTGCACAATTTGAATTATGTTCCCCTATCTGCTGAGCAGAAAAACGCCGTTAAGGATGGTCTCATCGAAAGTACAGTGGGTCAGAGTGTGGCCAAAATTGAAATGTTGGATTTTTATAAAGTTCCATTTACACAAGTTCTGGATTTGGTTCGATCGCGTCGTTGCTATCTTAAAGATGGTCAGGCCTACGTCAACACCCATGACTTCATATCAATTGTGGGCACCAAGCAGCTAGAAGAAATTGAGCATGGTCTCAAGTCGGCCCAACGTTTAATACGTGAAGTAGAGACAGATGAACGTCTATTCACCCTTCTGAAATCTTTACACACCTCCTACACGGGTAAAGATTATACCGTTGGCAAGGATGTCAAGGTACCCATCGAATCTATCGATCAATTATCCAAAAAATCATTCCCTCTCTGTATGCGTTTGTGTCATGAACATCTGCGCACCACACATCATCTCAAATATGATGGCCGTATGCAATATGGCCTGTTTTTGAAAGGTATTGGTGTCACCCTAGAGGATGCAATACGATTTTGGCGTGAAGAACTAACAAAGAAAATGGATCCCGAGAAATTTGTTAAAAGTTATCAATATAATATTGAACATAACTATGGTAAAAAGGGTTCTCTCAAGGATTACGCACCATATTCGTGTGCCAAAATTATCCAAGAAAATGTTGTACAAGGCAGTGCCAATGGCTGTCCCTTTAAGTACTACGATCAATCGACGCTGAAACAAAAACTTGCCGCTGCCGGTTTGGGTACAGCACACATACAAGATGTTGCCGCTTTGGCAGCGAAACATCATTATCAATTGGCATGTGCTAAATATTTTCAAGTTACCCATGATACGAATGTTGAAGTTGCCATTAATCATCCGAATCATTATTATCTCCAGAGTCAAGAACTTATGGGAAGTCGTGTCGAAAAGAAATCAACTGGTGGTGGGCCACGAAAATCTATGAAAAGTAATATTAGCAGTACTCAATCGACACAAGATTATTCGTCGTATATGAATGGCGACGATGATGATGAACTGTGGAATATTGCCGATGATACACAAAAAACTTTTGAAAGTAGTACCCAAAAACCCACGTCGAAATCCAGTGAAATTGCCTGGGAAGATGATTTGGATTTAACGGCTATAGATTATTAAGTTTTGTTTTGTATTGTGTTTAGATTTCTTATATAAAAAAAGTATTTTTAATCGATTTATATTAAAAAAAGTTGATACTATAAATTTTTATTTTTTTTTTAAATTTGCATCGTTTGTACCTTCCACCCAAAGGTTTTGTTCTTGTAGAGATGAAGATGGCAGGCAGATACATATAGCGTGTTGAGGATCTGGAAGGAGCATTTTGAAAAGCTTCTGGTATCAAGTAGTGGCGGTGAAAATAATACCCCAGAACCAATAAGAGAATGTGGTATATATTGTATACCACCTAGCCAATATGAGATCAGAATAGCAATTAATCGGCTGAAGAATAATAAAGCGGGTTACCACAAGATCAGCAGTTAAAGTCGGCTAGGAACTATCAGAGCCCTTCAATATCGAACAAGGATTCAGACAAGGTGACAGTTTGTCGTGTGACCTGGAAAAGGTTATACGAGAGGCAAATGTGAACAGAAATGGCTCTCTTTACACCAAACAACACATGTTACTCTCCTACGCCGATGACATCGATATAATGGGTCGAACATTGAGATCGGCAACAGCCACCTTTGAACAAATAGAGAAGGAGTCTGCCAAAGTGGGTATGGCAGTAAACGGCGAGCAAACTAAGCTGATGATATCAACGCACCAGACGCCCAGTAGACCCGGATCAACTGTGGAACTTGAGAACTACAGCATCGATCCAACGATTATATATATATATATAAATGGATCTGAAGAATAGTTACTTCCACAAGCAGATAAGGCAGCTTTGGGGTGTTTATAGTCTATTGGTGGGCCCTACGGCGTGTATTTCTTAACAGAATTTAATAGACTATTGATAGGCCCTAAGGCGTGGATTTCTGAACAGAATTTTATAGCCTATTGGTAGGCCCTAAAGCGTGAATTTTTTAAAAGAATTTTATAGCCTATTGTTAGGCCCTAAGGCATGGATTTCTTAAAAGAATTCTATAGCCTATTGATAGGCGCTAAGGCGTGGATTTCTCAAAAGAATTCTATAGCCAATTGGTAGTCCCTAAAGCGTGGATTGCTTTAAAAAGAATTTTATAGCCTATTGGTAGTCCCTAAAGCGTGGATTGCTTTAAAAAGAATTTTATAGCCTATTGGTAGTCCCTAAAGCGTGGATTGCTTTAAAAAGAATTTATAGCCTAAGGCGTGGCGTTACATAAAAAAGAACTTTTTTCCAATTAAAAAACCCACAACAACAATTAATGTTACTCCATTTTATTTATTATATTCGAATTCAAGGATATTTAATTAATAGATATCAAAATTAAATTAAAAAAAAATAAAATTACAATGAGTTGTAACGTTTGTAATTCATGTGTAGTCCATATTTCTTAAGTAAATAAAAAAATCCGTCTATATTAACAAAACATATTTATACATACATATAATATGTACATATATTAATAGCGATCACGGCGACCACCACCGCCGCCACCTCCGCTACGATTACCATAATTATCTCGACCACCTCGCATACGATTATAGGTTTTATTCTCTTCGGCACGACGTTCTTTGGCTTTGGCAAAGCGTTCAGCCATTGTGCGCAACTCACTTGGCACCTTTTGGCCAGCCTCTTCGAGGATATCGATTAATTCAGGAGCCATTGCCCAGTCGGAGCGTGTTATATAGCTAATCGATGTACCAGTGCGTCCAGCGCGTCCTGTACGGCCCACACGATGTACATACTCTTCGATGTTGCGTGGAAAATCGAAATTTATAACGTGGCTAAGGTGAAGAAGGAATTAAATTAAATTATAAAATATATCTTCTCTGCTTAGTTGAAAAGCTTACGTTATGTCCTCAATATCTAAACCACGTGAGGCAATATCTGTGGCAATGAGAATGTTTACCTCACCAGAGGTAATATCGGCAATAGCCTGTTCGCGATCAGACTGAAATATAAACAAAAAGAAAACGCTTTAAATTAATTTTTAATAATGAGAGTGGGTCCCTTTAGGAACCGTTCAGAATTGAAATATCTTCTCAATTCCTACTTCATCACATTTGTTTCAAATCGTTTTCTCTTCATGTCTATTAACTGGAAAGTATTTAATTTTTTAATAATTAATAATTGTTCGCTGTTCATTCCGACTTCTGAGCTATGAACGATTTAATTTCGAAACAAAAAACAAAATTTATTTATTTACCTGATCACGAGATCCATGAATACACTGACAACGAAAACCATCCAGAGTCAAATCACTTGACAGATCATCGGCACGAACTTTTTTACCGCAAAAAATTATAACTTTTTCATCAAAGGCCATCTTTTTGACAAAACTTTTTACCTAGCAAAAACAACAACAAAGCATAAAACATTTCACAATAAAAATTCCGGCATGACCTCTTTACCAAATAAAATTTCTCATCTTCTTCGACAATTTCAATTAATTGTTTCACCGTATGGGTGGCAGCCAAGTCCAAGGAACCAACACAAACTTGTATGGGATTATTCATATAGCTTTCGGCCAAACGACGTACACCCGGTGGCCATGTGGCACTGGTCATAACCGTTTGACGATCTGGTCGTATATCCAAGAGGATTTTTCTAATTTGGGGTTCAAAACCCATGTCTAACATACGGTCGGCTGGAAGCAAACAAAAAAATAATAATAATTTAAAAAAGAAAAATCTTCGTTATCAAGAGAAAAATTTTGGGAGGAAATTTCCTTTAAGGCCACCTCTCAAAAAAATTAGGAAAATTGCCGAACTTACCTTCATCTAATACTAAATACGTAATAGTTGCAATATCAATAACATTAGCTTGTATGAGATCATTCAAACGTCCAGGTGTACAAATAATAATTTCCGCTCCACTTTCAACGCTACCGATTTGATCGCGTCTGCTACCACCGCCATAAATACATACCCTAAAACAAATAAAATTGAGGTTAAGTTCGACGTGGGCGAATTTTTATAACCTGCACAACATTTATAATGGGTGCAAGTTATAACCTTTATATGGGAGTATATGCTACAGCATGAGGGCAGTTCTGAAAGTTCTTAGACTGGCACAAAAAGCGGGGTACAAACAGTTTGTTTCGGAAACATCCATCTCTGTTATGAATACATGTTAAATGTTGTTTCTATCTGGCAACTTTTTCATATAGAAACAGGTGTTCAAATAAACGCATCCGCAATTTTTTACAATAGACAAATTAGAAATGCGTGCTTTCATTGCAAAAAAATTGCGAATGCGTCTTTTTTGAACACTCCGAACACTACCTCGAAGCTGTAGTTCTCAAGTTGCACAGTACAATCTATAAATGGGATTTATATAGATAACCTTCTTCAGAAGCTCAAAGAAGAGCTCGAAGGACCAGAAGATGTTAGGTTCCTTATCCGATTTTTGTTACGATTTTATTTTTTACAGTTCAATTTGAAGATCCTCCACACATTTAAATTACAGTTAAAGTTGCGAATCTTTTGATTAAATTGTTTTATAAGAGAGCTCGAAGGACTAATAAATTAAAAAATACAGTTAAATTTGGGAACTTTTTGTTAGACTTTTCTTATTTTGTTCGACGACAGGCATTTCGGTGTTCCTGTTGCAGAAATTTTTAATTTTCTTCTATCCCAAAAATAAGGGAGGAGGATGTCTCAACCATTTAATGAATACTGTAGTTGAATTTATCAGCTAATCTATGTCAGATTTTTTTCTTTTGATAGATCCTTTCCGACTTTAACTGCTGACCTTGTGACACTCAAAGTTATTATCCTGCATAGACGTATTAATTTTGCAGGAATGCCGAACACAGACATGTCTTTAAACACCTGTGAATTAAATAGGACTGTCGATGCGGCTCTATAGTCGCACGAATATGTGAAATGTATAGATGTGTTTTTTGTGGGTCTTTTCCATTATTTCCTGGTGCAATGTGGACATCTGGTCAATGGTCATCAAGGATATAGATTGCAAACTTTATTTCGAGGCTATGTAGAAATATGGACCTATAGCAGTAATATTAAGCAACGAAATTGTTTCCCCCGCAAGAACTTGTGATGCCAAATTGTGGTCATAATCGGAAGGAAATACGTCTAAAAAGAGTATGCAACGGCAAAATAACAGTCAGGATATCATAAATGGAGCTGGAACTATATATACGCTATGCTGAAACAGACACAAAATACCAAAAATTGGGCGGATCTTTTATATAAGGACATATGGTACAAGTTTAGCATATAGCCCAGTCGCGGATCGTTTTCAAATTCTTACTAAAAAAAGCCCTACGGGCCCTGATTATATCGATCCGATTTTTTTCTTGTGGAAATCAATACTTCCGGCTTTCTTTTAATATTTCGGATTCTCATTGTAAAACATCTCTCCGTACTAAAAATTATAAATATTGACTCAATTTCCGGGGTATCCTCCAATATTCGGTATTTTTACGATTTTGGACAACTTTTTTCATGGTGAAATGGCTGTAATTTGGTATTTTGTATTCTAATATTATGATCCCAGTTTGAGTATAGTCGCACTATTCGGTATTTTGAAAATTTCAAACATATTTTCTCGCGTCTATCATAACATAAATATTTTTGCGCAAAAAATTGATATATTTTGAGTGTCAACCTCATTGTGGACCAAAAGCTCGGCCCGGCCGAACATAAATTTGATTTTACTTGTTTTTTGTGATTTACTTACGCCTTCATATTACGAAACGAATATTTATTGACTTCCTTTTCAATTTGCAAAGCCAATTCGCGGGTCGGAGCCATAACCAGCACATTAGGTCCTCCCCGTTGGGAACGTGGTATACTTTGATATTCGGTGTGTATCATGGCGGGCAATAAAAATGCCAAAGTTTTACCAGTACCCGTTTGAGCAATACCAATCATATCTTCACCCTTCAATAGAATTGGCCACGCCTGAGCCTGTATGGGTGAGGGTTTTTTAAAATCTTGCTTTTGTATTTCCGCCATTAAGTCCGGATAGGGAGCAAAACAATGTTCAAATTTTGTAACTGGATTTGGAATGTCATCGCTGTCATCTTTGGCAAAGACACGACTCACAGTCGTATTGTTGTTCTTCAAACGAATGCGGGCCACATCTTCGGCATTCATATTTGCCACATCGGGATGTTCTTGATAGAAATCTTTACGTAGCGGTGGACATTTGGCCCATCGTTTTTTGCGTTCAATTTCGGCCCGTTGATTTAGTTTATCCCAATCGATTACGGCACCATTGTTTGTGCCCGAGTCACTGTCGTAGGTATCATCCTTGGCAGTCGTTGTTGATGACTGCTGCTTACCATAACTGTTATTGTCATATGAACTACTTTGGTATCGACTGGAACTGCCGCCTCCACTGCCACCATACCTGTTCGAGGACGAAGAGGATGATCCATAATAGTCAGTATTTCTCTTGGAATTGTTATCATAGTCATTATTTCTCCTGGAATTATTATCATAGTCATTGTTTCTTCTGGACGAATAGTTATCACGATCACGACCACGTTGTTCCCGATCACGGCCATCCGAATCGCTCATTTTACTTTTAATTTCTCGCATGGCGTCCTTTACATCGCTGTCACTGTTACCCGACACTGTAACAGTTCCACGATTTTTATCAATCTCCACGCGAACACTGTAATCCGATTCCAATTTCTGTATATTCGATCCGCCTCGCCCAATAATACGGCCAATGGAATTTTGACGCATATCTGTGGTATCCTGATATTTCTTCGATGACGAGGATGTTAAAGATGAGTGTTTGCGACCACCGCCACTTCCACCATAGTCATCGTCTCTGCCACTACCTCTCCAGGAAGAGGAACTACTTTTATGCGTGGTAGAAGCAGTTTGTTGTTGCTGTTGGTCACAATCATCTTCCCAATCGGACATGGTGGCAATTAAAAACTTTTTCGAATTTGATTTTTCACGTTGTCATCAATTTAAGCGTTCGCTAAGCGGTGTTTGTTGCACTTTTGTTTAATCGCGAGAATGAACGGTAAATTTAATGCTGCTCAATGCAATTTTTTTGCAATATTAATTATTGTAACAGTGATGCCACTTGTTAAATACATCGGAAATGGGGTAATACCCTATTTAGGGAATTGAGCTAATTCCCTATTTGTGGAATTGGGGTAATTCCCTGTTTAGGGAATTGTACACATATATTTTTACATATATATTTCGAGATTTTGTATAAATATGTGTTAAGTTAATTACTGTTTTATTAAATTAAATATTTTTAATGAGATGGAAAAAATACACATTCCGTATATATTCGATATGATCAATGTTTCGACCAATAAAAAACAAATATAAAATACATACGGCAGCGCTATATTCCAATATGAAGTGCTATGGCGAACTGTCAAACTATGTCATTTGTCATAAGCTTGTTTTGCACTTTTCTGTCTTTGCAAGGGTAATATTACTTTTACACTAGACAATTTGCTTAAAGTACTTTTACATAGGAGTATGCACCAGGTGATTAGTACAATTTGGCTAGAGGAATGCATGCCCAATGATTGGAACCTCAGCATCCTGTGTCCCGTACACAAAAAATGAGACAAGACGATAAGTGCCAACTCTAGAGGAATAAGTCTCCTTTCCATTGGATGTAAAATGCTATCCCGTATGCTGTGTGAACGTCTGAAGCCAATGGTCAAATAAAACTAATGACATCAGTTTTGAAATTCGGTGAAGGATAGTGTTGGGCAACAGATGCTACTATGATCTAAGTGAGCAATTTAGACCAAACTCACACTCTACAAAACGCTGACACTACCCGTGCTGTTATATGGATCTCACAAACTCACACTCTACAAAACGCTGATACTACCCTTGCTGGTATATGGATCTGAAGCATGGGTACTTACGCAAGCAGATGAGGTAGCTCTTGGGGTGTTTGAGAGAAAAAATCTCCGAAAGATCTATGGGCCGATCTGCGTCGACGGTCAATATCGGCATCGAATGAACCACGAGCTTTACAATCTATATGTTGACATCGACATAGTCTGTTCTATTGTTGTGCGAATGCATGATAATGCCCCAGCTCAAAAGGTATATAAAAGCGACCCTACTGATGGTTCACGCAGAAGGGGGAGGCCACGAATCAGATGGAAAGACCAAGTTGAAACAACATCTCGGAGTATAGTCTTTCAAATTGGAGGAGATGCGCACAAGACCGACGCGTTTGGAAATCTTTCTTAAGCTCGGCTTATGGAACAACCCTTCTGTAATAAGGTTTTTACAGCTGCAATTTAGTATTTTGGACTCAAGTTGGGTTTTAGATATACAGTAGATATCGGATATAAGAAACTCAAAAAAGGCGGATATTTATTTCTTATATGCGTTTTTTTTCTTATATGGAATTATCGGATATAAGAAAGTATAAGCTCGGTGTTTTTGATAATCTTTCTTATATGCGATTTTTTCTTACATGAAATGTGCTTATATCCGATATCTACTGTACCCCATATAATTGTACCGCGAAATATTCTGTATATTGAGGGTTTCAGCACATTTTCAATCTAATTGACTGTAATTTTTTGTGGACCAATATTGATACTGAACGTTATCAATATTGGTCTACATTTTTGGGATGCCATCATATAACGCTACATCCCATAGATCGATATTATGGCGAGCTTGAGCACCTGCTTCAACAAATTTGGGAGAAGCTTAATAATTTGGATTCTTTATTTATATTGTCGTAATTAGCAGTAAGTTGCTTACATCGTTTTTTATATAAAACAATCACAGAAACGTATTAATTACATTTTTTTGGTTTAAATTTTCTACTGGGGTATCTACTGTACCCCATATAATTGTACCGCGAAATATTCTGTGTATTGAGGGTTTCAGCACATTTTCAATCTAATTGACTGTAATTTTTTGTGGACCAATATTGATACTGAACGTTATCAATATTGGTCTACATTTTTGGGATGCCATCATATAACGCTACATCCCATAGATCGATATTATGGCGAGCTTGAGCACCTGCTTCAACAAATTTGGGAGAAGCTTAATAATTTGGATTCTTTATTTATATTGTCGTAATTAGCAGTAAGTTGCTTACATCGTTTTTTATATAAAACAATCACAGAAACGTATTAATTACATTTTTTTGGTTTAAATTTTCTTAATTTTACATTAACATACTTTACGTTACTTTCTGCTCTAATTGTTCTGTGAATGATAGCTCACTGCATATATGAAAGCTATCAATTCCCGTTGAATGGTTTAGTTACCCCCCGGAAGAAGAAGACGATGGACAAGAATTGTATCGAGAGTAGTTTTGTGTGTGTAAAAAATATAATTAAAAAATAAATAGAAAATTTCGGGATATATATGGAAATAAAATCCACAAAATAACATTATTTAAATATAATTATGCAAATATTAATTATTCGATGATAAATGAGTTCGATCAAGAAAATATGAAAAGAAAAAATCTTCGTGAGAGTGAAAAAACGAGTTGTGAAAAAGTAGACAGACAGTAGAAGAAAAAAAAGACAAGCAAAGACATGGTTCAGTCATCATCAACATCATCATTATATATTTTTTGTCATGTACAATGTTAATAGACTAGTGTAACCAATTGTTTATGCCAAAGCATGAAGTGTTGTTGTGTGCGTATAATTTATTAGTGATTATCAGTTAACAAAAAAAGAAAAACAACAATTTGTGTAATAAACAAATGTTAAACCATAAAATTTACTCCTTTGTGTTGTGGGGCCAAAGTAGTCGTATTGTTTCGCTTTAATACAATGGCTGCTGATATGGCAACCCTACAAAGGTAGCAGGAAAAGAAGAACTAGGATAAAGGAAGGCGGTATATAGCGAGTTGCCAATATTTTTATTTGTTTATTTTGTGTTAAAAATAACTAGTATAAAATTAATTTACGTGAGAGCAATTATTTATTGAAAAAAAAATGTGAAAATATTTGTTTTTTTAAATATCCTCAAAATATCATTACAATTGAAATATATACCAATTGTTGTTGCATATTTCTCTCTCGCTACTTACAGCTGGCATCTCTGTTAAATGAAAATGGCGTACCGTTCCTTTTGTTATCCCGTGCAGCTGGGAATGTTATAAATTTTGGAGTTTTGTTCAAAAGTGCATATAACAAAAAAGAGAATAAGAACAAGAAAATAAACATTTTTTTCTCAATTTCCTTTTTCAAAAAAAAATTTAAAGGAACAAAGGAAGCAGTTCAATTCGTCTTCATTTAATTTAAAACGGAAAATAATTTATTGTTGCAGTCGTTGCGTTGCATTGTTGGGCCATGGTGTATTTGAGAAAGAACCCGATTTGGAAATCATCATCGATAGGATAAAAAGAAAAAAATGAACGAATAAACGAAAAAAATATAAAATCCCAGACCTCCTCTCACATACTATAAGCAGTGCCACACTCATCATCAGCAGTGCAGTTGTTTGTGTAGTGGTGTGCTGCGTCGGCTGCTGCTGTTGTTGTGCCGTGTATTGTGAAGGGTTGATGAATATTTCTTCGTTCGAATGAATGGTTCAAAAATTGTGTGTTATGTATATGGTGAAAATTTCTGTCGAGAAGAAACTCCATACGAATATAATTGAAGGTGCATAAAGGACGGTCGGCGGACGTACTCCCCCCAAACCTTCCCGCACACAAAAGGCAAACAATTGGGTTTATTTTAATATTATTTTTTGGTTGTTTTATTATAATATAAGACAACAAATATAAGTTGGGAAAATGCCTAGTGCATCATTTACATCGTCGCGCTCCTATGTGCGGCGTTCCAAACGAAAGGGTGCCAATCGCATAGCTTTGCCGAATCGTCCGGTTGGTGAGTATTAATTTTCTTATTATTATATTAATTATTTTGATATATTTATGAAAAATATGTTTATAGACATTAATTTGAGTGATTCCAATGGGTCCGGTTAGAGTTCAGAATGTTTTCAGAATCTATTTGTTTTTCATATATTTATTGGGACTTAATGATAGAAATAAATTTGACATTTTTATGGCTTGTTGAGTTGAAGGTCCTGTGGAAATTCTTAATAGAGAAGTCCTTACATCCTAAAATAAGGGTATTAGAAATTTCGTTGGTACCAGTGTATTAAAAATCCAATCTATGGTAATATGGTTATAATTTTGAGGCTGTTGATGTTCTGAAGGAGTTTGCTTGGCATATGTCCATAGCAGCAAGTCTTAAATCCCCAACAGAAGGTCTGCCCCGCATAAAAAATATTATAAATAAAAAGGAAATGCTTTCACGTTGCCGATTTTGACCACCTGCCCATTAGACATGTCAACCGATTGATTTTCACAAGAAAGATTGATTTGGGATTAAATGTTATAAAACCAATTTTAAACGATGTAATAAACATTTCAAAACTTTTCGCCTTGGAGCTCTAATTTTGACTTGTTCCCCAATGCAATGTATTGTGATTTCATCCAAACTTTGTTTCTTCCAAACTTAAATCAAGTTCGATGATGGGGGAATATTGTTCGCAACAAGTCTAGTTTAGGGCTCCATCGCGAATCGTTTTGAAAATTTTACCACATGTAGTCCTTAGGGCCCTGATTACAATGGTATACTTTTTTTCTTGCGGAAATCGGTTCGTTCATTGAAGATCTGTAGATTGAAATCCTCGTCTAGCTAATTCGTCTGCTTTACCCGTGATGTCACGGTGTCTTGGTACCCAACACAGCCGATAGGTGTAAGCGAGTGTTTCCAAAACCGCTCTTCACTCGACAACGACATCAGATTTGATATTACAAGATTTGATGGCTTTAAGAGCCGCCTGACTATCCACAAAGACAGTCTCTGCATCCAGACTATCAATTCCGCTGTCTTTTAAATAACGAAGATTTCAGCTGGGTAAGCTTAAAGTTTAGCCGTTCACAGTAGACGCCAGCAATGTACCTTTTCTAAGATAAGATTTATTACAATGAAATCCTCGGAATTGAGGATGTCTTCAGTCAGTTGGGCAATTTTGATTCCTCGGGTTTTAGTTATCCCTACATGTTCCCATACTTTCGCGGAATTAAAGAAGGATGTATATGCAGTATTTTACTGCATTTGATTATGTTGTCGTCCAGCGTTTTATGTTCCTTTACCTGAAATCGAAGGAATGCTTTAAATCTAACTTCCTATCCCTTGCAACCATATTTTAGACCACATTTATTTTTTTAGATCATTTCAAATAAATACCCCGACCAAAAACTAATCTTCTCTTCAATTTTAATTTTTTTCTAGGCAATATTATGGATCCAATTTTACAAAATTCATCATCACAAATTATACAAAATCACTCGGTAGCTATAAATTCTTCATCGGCGGCAACATCGTCTTCAGCATCCGGTTCCTGTCAACCCACTCCAGCAAGCACATCGAATTCAGCAGGTTTGTATTGCAGCTACATAAAATTCTACAATAAAAATTGTATATAAATAATCGAAATCTTCCTATTACAGGTGATATGTACGATGGTTCTGGGCCCTCATGTTCCAAAGTACAAGTATTAAATGCTGCTTGTTCTTCGTCATCGTCGTCGGCATCGGCATCATCGTCATCATCATCAACAAATATGGGTTTAAATCAAATGACCGGAGGAGGCGGAGGTATTGCAAATTCAAACAGTGGCAATAGCAACGCTTCAACGGGACAAATGTCACTATTCGAATATGTTGGAATGCATATAAATGACCCGGATGCAGGCACATCAAATAGTGGTGGTGGAGGTAAAGCGTACTTTCAATTTCACGCCATGAAGTTTTTTTTAATTATAATTTTTATTTTTTTCTAGGATTTTCATCCGGCATTGCAGCATCCACCTCCACGACAACATCATCATCAGGATCGACAACTACATCAGCAACATCTTCCTCGAATACATGTGGTGGTGGTGTTGGTGTACACCAATCGCCCTACGATTTACGCAGTAAACTACCCACAAGTAGCAGCCATGATCAATGGCCTTCCACATCAGTATTACAGCAATCCGCCAGTTGCAATTCCAACGGTAATGTCAATAACCCATCCCCCACACCATCATGCTCGTCATCACACACAACAGCGGCGCAACAACACAGTCACAACTCATCATCATTGGCATTGATGATGGTGACTGGTGTCATTGTGGGTCCTTCATCATCGACGTCAGCCTCATCATCATCCACCAACAACACCACCTCCTCCTCGTCGTCGTCGTCAGCTGCTGTCTCAAATCTACTAAACAATGGTAATTCAGTGAATACTTCCACAAACCAGTCAACCGCTGTTATACATGCACCCTCAACAAATGCATCGTTCCCGGTGAATAATGCACCCACAGGGGCACCACTAACACACCCGCCAACTGTACACAGTTCCATACCACAACAGCATTGTAGTGCCCTGCCAATTGGTGGCTCCGATGCCAACAGTTTCATGTTACCAGCCCGCAAACGCTCACGGCGTCTATATACCGTTAACATGGATACAGCATTGATGTCTCCACCCAGTGTCAGTGGTAGTGGTTCTAGTTATATGGGTCCCACTGCTGCCCAATATTTGCAATATGAACTGCCAGATGAGGTGCTCTTAGTCATCTTCTCCTATCTACTGGAACAAGATCTATGCCGTTTGGCTCAGGTCTGTAAACGTTTCAATACCATTGCAAATGATACGGAACTTTGGAAACGTTTGTATCAATCGGTTTTCGAATATGATCTGCCCCTTTTCAATCCGGAGGTGTGTAAATTTGTTTTTGAAAAACCCGAAGAGTCGGAATATGCCAACGCCTGGAAGGAGAGTTTCCGTCAGCTGTATCGTGGCGTGCACGTAAGGCCTGGTTATCAAAATAAAAAATATCCCGGTCGAAGTATAGTGTTCTTTGATACCATACAAGCGGCCCTCGATTATCCCGAAGAGAGAGCAGCAGTTTCGGGAGGAGCCTCAACATCGGCAGCTGCCATTAATGCGGGGCTATCTAATCCGACAGCCGGTGGTGCAAGTGTCAATGCTCTGGCCAATATGTATGAGGATAATGTTCCACCATTGGATCATCCGGGTCCATTGATATTTTTACATGCCGGCCATTATAAGGGGGAGTACCTCTTTATTGATTCCGATGTGGCATTAATTGGTGCCGCTCCCGGCAATGTGGCCGAGGCTGTTGTCCTAGAACGTGAAGCTGGATCCACGGTAATGTTTGTGGAGGGCGCCAAATATGCCTATGTGGGATATTTAACATTGAAATTCTCTCCGGATGTCACCTCAACAGTATCGCATCACAAACACTATTGTCTGGATATCGGTGAAAATTGTTCGCCGACAGTGGACAATTGTATTATCCGCAGTTCATCGGTGGTGGGTGCGGCGGTGTGTGTGGGTGGTGTTAATGCCAATCCCATAATAAGAAATTGTGACATTAGCGATTGTGAAAATGTCGGTCTCTATGTTACCGATTACGCTCAGGGCACGTACGAGCACAACGAAATCAGTCGAAATGCATTGGCCGGCATTTGGGTAAAGAATTTCGCCAGTCCCATTATGCGTGAAAATCATATACATCATGGTCGTGATGTGGGCATATTTACATTTGAAAATGGAATGGTAAGTGGATGTGATTCAATATCACCTAACACATGTTCTGCAAGGAGGACAAAAACTTTTAATATAAATTCTTTTTTTTTATCATATTCTATATTTAAAGGCCCCAAAAATATTGGTTCTTTATATATTGAACGTCCTGGTCGAACTTAATCCTTCTAATGTTCCCTTGTTTTCCATTTACAGGGTTATTTCGAAAAGAACGACATACACAATAATCGAATAGCAGGTTTCGAGGTAAAAGCTGGTGCCAATCCAACCGTGGTCAAATGTGAAATTCATCACGGACAGACTGGTGGTATATATGTACATGAAAACGGCTTGGGTCAATTCATTGAGAATCGCATACATTCAAATAATTTTGCAGGTAAGTTTGAGATCTCACAATTCCCATTAAGAACTTCATAACTAAAATATATTTCGTTTTCCCCCAATAGGCGTTTGGATAACCTCAAACAGTAATCCGACCATACGTAAAAATGAAATCTACAATGGTCATCAGGGTGGTGTATATATTTTCGGTGAGGGTCGTGGTCTTATCGAACACAATAATATTTATGGCAATGCTTTGGCCGGCATACAAATACGCACAAACAGTGATCCAATTGTGCGGCACAATAAAATCCATCATGGGCAACATGGTGGCATATATGTGCACGAAAAGGGCCAGGGTCTCATTGAGGAGAATGAAGTCTATTCGAATACACTGGCGGGAGTTTGGATAACAACAGGCAGTACACCGGTGTTGCGGCGGAATCGTATACATTCCGGTAAACAGGTAAGAATCAATCAGAAATCATTTTAATTTGATTTTTATGGAGTAAAAATGAAAATATTCTCCTCTACAGGTTGGTGTTTATTTCTATGACAATGGTCATGGCAAATTGGAGGATAACGACATCTTTAATCATCTATATTCGGGAGTACAAATACGTACCGGCAGTAATCCAGTGATACGTGGCAATAAAATATGGGGTGGCCAGAATGGTGGCGTCTTAGTTTATAATGGCGGTTTGGGTCTTTTGGAGCAGAATGAAATTTTCGATAATGCCATGGCGGGTGTGTGGATTAAAACCGATTCCAACCCGACCCTGAAACGTAATAAAATCTATGATGGTCGTGATGGTGGTATTTGTATATTTAATGGTGGCAAGGGTATACTCGAAGAGAATGATATCTTTCGCAATACTCAAGCTGGTGTTTTGATATCGACACAATCTCATCCCATATTGCGTCGCAATCGTATATACGATGGCCAAGCGGCAGGTGTGGAAATTACCAATAATGCCACAGCCACATTGGAATATAATCAAATATTTAAAAATAAATTTGGTGGTCTATGTCTGGCGAGTGGTGTACAACCGATAACGCGTGGCAATCAAATATTCAACAACGAAGATGAAGTCGAGAAGGCAGTGTCCGGTGGGCAGTGCCTTTACAAAATAAGCAGCTATACTTCATTTCCCATGCACGATTTCTATAGATGTCAGACGTGTAATACAACAGATCGCAATGCCATTTGTGTGAATTGTATTAAGAATTGTCATGCAGGACATGATGTGGAATTCATAAGGCATGATCGGTAAGTGAAAAAAATTTAAATACCTATTTTTGATGATTTTTTAAGTTTTTCCATGGGATACCTGGTTTAGACAATCTGAATAGAAAATTTTCTAGAGAAAACAGCGCAAAATAAAAGTTGTTGTAAAGAATTGTCGAATTTATTCAGCCATGCAAGATAATTTTTTTCTAATGAAAAATTTATTCAGCCATGGGATCGAAAGTTTTTCTATTTTCTATTGTAGAGAAAAACTAATTCAGCAAATCAAAATGCAAGCTTTTCAGAATCGAATTTTTTCTATTGAAGAACTTATTAGCCATTGAAATTGAAGAATTTTTTTTAGACATTCAGAATGAATATTTTTCTATTGAAGAACTTATTCAGAATCGAAGTTTTTCTATTCTATTCCATTCCCAGCCATGTAGAATAGACTACAGATCACCTACTTCAGTCAGACTGACTTGAAGTTTTTACATAAGTAAACCTCTTTAGCCAGACTGAATTGAAGTTTTCCTGCAGAAACTCTAATTCAGCCAGGATGAATTGAAGTTTTCCTAATGGAAACCCTCTTCAGCCGGGCTGGATTGAAGTTTTACTATAGAAAACCATATTCTGCCAGACTAAATCAAAGTTCTCCAATGGCGAAACTTATTCAGCCAGGCTGAATTGATGTTTTCCTACAGAAACCCTTATTTATCCAGGCTGGATTGAAGTTTTAATATAGAAAACCGTATTCAGCTAGACTAAATCAAGGTGTTCATATGGCGAATCTTATTCAGCCAAGATAAATTGATGTTTTCCTACAAAAATCCATCTTTAGCCAGACTAAATTGACATTGTCCTACAGAAACCCTAATTCAGCCCAGCTGAATTTAAGTTCGGCTACAGAAAACCTTATTTGTCAGGCTTAATTGGAGTTTTCCTACAGAAAACCATATTCAGCCAGGCTGAATTAATGTTTTGCAAAGAGAAACCTTATTCAGCCAAGATGAATTGAAATTTTCTACAAAAACCTTCTTTAGCCAGACTGAATTGACATTTTTCTACACCCTAATTCACCCAGGCTGAATTAAAGTTTTCCAAAAAAAAAAAAAAAAACTAAATTTTGTAAAAGGCCAGTAGGTCCTCAGATTTCGAATGTTTCAAAGTCCTGTAGATCCTCTGATATCGAATGTTTCTTTACTAATCTCTTCTCTTTCTCTCCCTCTTTCCAGTTTCTTTTGCGATTGCGGTGCCGGCACCCTATCGAATCAATGTCAACTACAGGGCGAACCAACACAAGACACGGATACATTATATGATTCAGCGGCGCCCATGGAATCTCATACTTTAATGGTAAACTAACTAGAACTGTAAAGATTCCGCAAAACCACCACCCCTACACTTCCATATAAAAAACAAGCAATTCGATATATATAAAAATTAAAAAACTAAAAATAATATGCAAAGTAAAACTGGCCATACTCTTCTTCTCCAAGCAATTACTGTAATCGATGTGTAGACATGTTGTGTCCATGTTTTATACACCTCAACCCGCTGCTCCTACACCCCCCGCCCCTACCTTAAAAAACTGTCTCTCTATTATAAGTATAGAATACGATATATGAAAAAAAAAATAGAATACGAAAAAATTAAAAATTATTATCGCGCGTTATATACTCCACATATGGTAAATATGTATATATCATATGACAGATATATCCATGCATCCATCCACGCATCCACCCAGACCCCGACATGTGTATGTGGATGACAACAACAGCAATAGCAGCATATTACTACGATAATAATAATAAGAAATAATACAACTATTGATGATATATAGATATGTACAATATGTATGTAGTATATAGCCTAAGATTATGATATATATATCTTCCTTCATTTTTAGAAATAGTTGCATATACATATATACATACAAAATAGCTTATTATTACTATTATTATTTCTTTTTTTTTAACATATACATACACACCTTATCTTACATATAATTAATTTTAGCAGTACTTATATGCTTAAGATTATTTCATTTAATTATTTTATATATAATTTGTCTTTTTAAAAATTAGTTTGCTATATTAAAAACAAAAAATACTAATTATACACAATTTTTTACACAAATCAATCGCAAAACTATTACTTTTTTTCTTTCCTCTTCTTCCACTTAAGAAAATTTTAACTTTATTTTTTCTGGTCTCGAATTTAGTTAAATGAATGTATTTTTCAGCATCATTGGCCCAATTCTATAGGCATGCAGGAGAAAAAGTTTTTCTATCTATGGGCATATTCAGCCATACTAAATCAAAGTTTTCCTATGGCGAACCTTATTCAGCAAAGATGAATTGAAGTTTTCCTCCACAAACCTTTCTTCAGCCAGGTTGAATTGAAGTTTTACTATGGAAAACCATATTCCGCCAGACGAAATCGTAGTTTTCCTATGTCGAACCTTGTTCCAGCCTTAATAAAAGTTTTCCCACAGAAAACCTTATTCAGCAAATGTGAATTGAGGTTTTCCTACAGAAAACCTTATTCAGCCAGGCTGAATTGAAGTTTTTCCACAGAAAACCTTATTCAGCCAGGTTGAATTGAAGTTTTTCCACAGAAAACCATATTCAGCCAGACTAAAACGTAGTTTTCCTATGGCGAACCTTATTCAGCCAAGATGAATTGATGTTTTCCAAAAGAAGGTCAGGCTGAATTCATGCTTTCCTAAAAAACCTATCTTCAGCCACTCTGAACTATGGGAAACATTCCTTGTCAGCCACGCCTAAAAGGAAACCCGTCTGAAATAAAATATCTTTTGGAAAATCTTCTTCAGTAAGGCTGAATTGAAGTTTGGCAATGAAAAACTTCTTCTTCAGCCATAATGGGTCCAATTCTATAGGGAAAAGGAAGTGGTATTCATGATTCTTCATTCCAATAATACGATACGAGGTCATATTTAAGAAATTAATGTTTTAAATTTTTGGGGTTTTTAATGTATAAAAACCTCCTAGGAAAAATATCAATGTCACAGCATATTGCGATTTAGACCACCCTCTATACAAACTCAGAATAAATATAGTATTTCATAATTTAATGAGAGATAATATTTTTGGCTATATTCGTTAAAGATTTAATGGTTTTGACTTTCGTTTTCCCAGACCTCCCTTCTCATATAACATTCAATTTTGTTGGTCCATAGGTCCACCTAGAAATATATGGAATTATGCCAAATAGCTTTGGACTTAACTTTTGAACTGTCCTGACGAATGTTTTGAAGTAAGATATCGCGGATTATAGGCTTAAGTGTTGTCCGTCCATGAGGTGTCATTCCGTTTACAACACTAAAGTATCTGTAATTTGGCATTACGGTTTTACAGAAAATTTTCAATATAGGTCGCATTTTTCGATGGCGATTTAAATTGGGATTTCGGGTTCTGTCAATATAGGTCCATGTTTTCTGTCCTTACTTCTCACGAGATATAAGCATTTAAAGAATGCCGAAGGTCCATATGTTTTTGATGACGAGGCACTACGGCAAAAAATATGCCTCACAGTCGAAGGGAGTAATTGTCGAAGGGAGTAAGCGATTTAAACCATGCTTTGCACACATAGTAATATTTCTTTCAAACTTAGTTCAAGTTCGAAGATGGGGAATATCGGTCGACTGCTTCTGTACTTACCCCCGCCAAAAAATGGCCAAAATTTTGGTGAAAATTAATTTTATAATATCATGCGAACCCCGACTATACGTTTTTAACCAAACATTGCAAAACCTATTACCGTTCCCAAATCTGTATATTGTTGGAAGGTGGAACTTGTCGACACATTGATTCTAGTACCTCCAAAGAGTCAACATTTTTAAATTTTTTATATACCCAATTTTAAGCGAACTGACTCAAACAATTTCACATCGCAATGTTTTTACCAATCCAAGATCAAGTCCGAAGATGGGACCCTTTTAGTACCTCCCCCACAAAGTGTCCATATTTTTTTAAAATGTCTTAATTTTATATCAAACGAATGGAATGCCCGATTTGATCAAAATTTTGCAAATTTTAATGCTTTTTTCCAAACAAAGATCATGTTCCAAAGATGGTATTTCCCTTTCTGGTTTTTACCAAAACCTAAATCAAGTCCGAAAATTGAACGCATAGGATCACTGTTAGGGGTATCTCCTCCAAAAAATGCTCAAAAAATTATTGTATAATATCACCGGAACCTAATGACTGTATAATGTCGAAAGATGGGACCCGTTGGTCTACTCCTTCAGATACACCCCCACAGTGTTACATTTTTTTAAGTTTGTTCAGAACGAAACCAATTGTACTATTTTTTCCAAACCTTGCTCAAGGCCGAAGATGGGTTTTTCCAGGACAGCCCTGAATTCTCGTATGTGTTTCCCCCCTTAAGAAACACTAAGGAGGCTTACGGTGTCGAAATCGAACAAAACGATCAGAATATATTTTCTGGGATCAGTAAGAACCTAATCATATCTAACTTGAGCAAAAAGGGATTATGAAGTGTAAAAATTCAAACTTGCTGCAATAACTCGGTCTCTTTAGAAAATCGAACATATTTTGACATAGGCCTATTTATTGTTTCCACTACATTTTCCGCATTTACCACTTGAATGGGCTATAATTTTAGGTTCGTCTTGGCCGATCCTATAAATTATATATATTCTTGGTTAGTGTAAAATTCTATGACGATTTAAGCATGCCCGTCTGTTGTAAACACTCTAGCGTCTAAACGAATTTAGATAGATTGCTAAAATTTTGCATACAGTCGTCTTTTGTCTACATGCAAATCAAGTTCCAAGATGGGCTATATCGGTCCAAGTTAGGCATAGCTCGTATATATGGTAACAAATCTCCCTACCAAAAAGTATTAATATTCCTCCCCTTTTAGGGGTGGTCCCCTTATAATCCCCTTTTTTATATTAAGGAAAACATTTCACAATACGCTCAAAAAACTATCGCCACATTCACGACCACATTTTCGTTCGAAAAAATTAAAACACTTTCAAAATATTTGCGCTATATTCTCACTATTTCAAATGAAAAAAAAAACAAAAAGTACTAATATTAAATATTGAAGACCGCAATCTTTTTGTAAATATATGCTCTATATTAATATAAATTTAAACATATTTTCTATTTATTTTACATTAACCTCTATATCTTGTGTGCAATTTATATTTCCCTATTGTAATATGTATAGTTTCAAATCCTAAGTATGTATGTATATTTCTTTTTTTTGAGCAGACATCATTGTTATGAAATGAAACACTATATAGCAACATTGTAAATTTGATTTTTTCTATGCCCCACATTATATTTTGTACGAGATTATGTTATTAAAATTCAATAATTATTCAAATTCAACGAAGCTCAATACGAGGGCAGTTCGGAAAGTTCTTAGCCTAGCATAATAAACGCGGTATAAAGAGAAAAACAGTTAAGTGTTTTGAAAACTTCCATCTCTGTTATGAACACATGTTAAATTTTGTTTCGATCTGGCGCATCCGCAATTTTTTTTACAATGAAATCACGTAAAAATTGGTTGCGTCTTATTTGAACACCTGTTCCAATATGAAGGAGTTGACAGATAGAAACAAAATTTAACATGTGTTCATAACAGTATTTTTATTTTTATGCGGATCTCGTTATTTTTTTCTATAGAGATTTTGTATACCCTTCACCACACTGTGGTACAGGTTATTATGTATTTGTGCATATGTTTGTAACAGGCAGAAGGAATCGAGATAGACCCATGGTTCCTTTTGAGAATATGCATAGAATCACTTGCTTAGTCGATTGTATTTTTGTGAACCAAGTACAGGTCGCATTTATGATCCAATTTCAATGAAATTTGACACAGTTCACTTATTTGGCCCAAGGACGAATCCTATTGAAATTGGAGAAAATTGGTTCAGATTTAGATATAGCTCTCATATATAGTTTTGTCCGATTTTAAGTAAATGATGCACCAAACTCCCAATATTTGTCCGATTGAGACAAAATTTTGCACAGAGTACTGAATTAATCGGTTCAGATTTAGATCCGATCGGTCCGAATTTTTGTGGATGACTCCCAATATTTGTCCGATTGAGCAAAATTTTGCATAGCGAATGTAATTGAGGAAAAAATGATGTGTGATAAGATTTGTTGAAATCGGTTCATATTTTGATATAGGTCTTATATATTTTCATTCGATTTTATGTAAATGGTTCACCGAAGGGCCTATGTTTGTTCGAATTACACGAAATTTGGCAGAGGGTATTAAATTGAATTTAGAGTGAAACAACAAATGGTGTACGCAACGGTTGCTCAATTAGGTCCATGTGTTTGCATATAGCTCCCATACATAGTTTTACTCGATTTCATACAAAGGGTACACCAAAGTATCCAAGTCTGTCCGTTTGACATGCAATTTTTCATTTCAGAATGACGTATGATGTTTTTTCAATTGTTTCAAATATTTATTTAGATAGCATACATAATTTCGCCCGATTCCATCTCAATGGTCCTCCAAAGATTCTATGTCTGTTCTACCTAACATATTAACATCTTTTGTATGTACCCAAAGTGGTGAAGGGTATCATCGGCCCCTTCCGAATTTTGAACTTTCCTTACTGGTTGTTGTATAGAGAGTTTTTTTTTTTAAAGACCTGATAACGATCGGTTTCCAAGTAAATAGGCAGAGTGTCAGGCTGGATAACTTTACTTTATATGAAAAAAGAGCAACGATTTTATTAACTTAATTCGAATTTACAAATCTTTTATTTATTTTATTTCAAAATTCCAATGTCCGAAGACCACATTTAAGAAAAAATATTGTTACATAGTGTGTTTCCTTGGAATGATGTCTTCCTTTCTAAAGAATAATAATAAAATAATAAATAATATAAATAATTGAAAGACACCAAAATCCCAGTGAAAATAATTTCCAATTTTTTTAGTTTTCAACTTTTTTTACCCACAATAAGGAAAAAAGAAGTCGATCTACTTATTTTTTTGTCCTTGATAAGAAAACTTAGATACGTATATATTTAAAATAATAGTAGATTATATTATGCTTTATAACATTTATAAAAAAATATATACACAAAAGTTTTGAAAATTGAATTGATATTTTCATGACATTTAAGCGATCTATGATATATATTTAAAAATATACGTATGTAGTAATATGAGTTTTGTAAAAACAATGATTGAAATCATGCTGCAAAGCTTATTACTAATAAAATTTGTAATAAATTACACCCCAAACACAGACATACACACAACTAAATTTTAAGTAATTATTAGATTACTCGACTCTATTATATAAAATTATCTATCACAATTATATCTCATCCACAACCATCATCTTCTGCATTGCCAATCATTATCCTCATCATTTGTTTTGAATACCATCATAAATTTATACATACACACTTAAGTATATAAAAAAAGATAATATAACAAAAAATTAATGTTTTATGTATTTTTTCATTATTGAATTAAACAAAAAAGTATAGTAGTCATATATAAATAAATATATGAAAATAAAAAATATATATATTATTATTAGTCTATAGTATTTCTAATCAATTGAATACAAGAACATCAAAAATACATCTACAAACATATTTACTTAAGAAGTAATACATGTCACTATATACTACAATACAAAAGGCAGTAACAAAAATGAAAGAAAATAAAATATATGAATAATAACCTCAAAACAATTTGACCGAATGAATTAAATATAGTCTCTCTTAGTTGCTGATACTTCAGCTTTCATTGTTCCAAAAAAAAAAAAAAACAAACAAACAAAAATAAAAAATGCACTCATAATAAAGTTTATAAAAATGAACAAGAAAAAAATACCAACAAATTATTTTTGTGTCATTTTAGTTAATAAGTTTCACACCATTTATATACAACTAATTATAAAAAAGAAGAACTAAATGATAACAGCAACAACAATATACAACAAAATATAAGAAGATAAACAACAACTACTATAATAATTATATTAATAATAACGGTAACTATTAATATTAATAATTATAATAATAATAAAAAACAACAAAAAACATATAAATAAGAATTCTTAAAAATAAAATGTTGTTTTATTCGATGGAAAATTCTATGGCGGCTAGTAAGTATGGGTGACGTTGGGGATGATAGATACCAAGCAACGGCTCTGATTAGCTTTAACTTGGCGAAGCCCAGGCGTATCTTGGTCTCTCTTTCATCTCAATTGTGGACACTGATCTCCCCGCGGTGCCACCTGGGGAGCGGCGTCGGGTTAGTTGCCCACACTAGGAAAACCCCTCTTACTATGAAAAAGCAACGAAAAAGAAAACCAAACCCCCCTCTAATGTTTACGACCGCCGCATACGTATAAAGGACCACGATCTGCAAATCTGCACTTGGAATGTGCGCACTTTGTACAGAACAGGCGCAGTTTTCGCTTTGGCGGATATAGCCACGAAGTACAAAACCGTTATTATTGTCTTGCGATTGAAATGGACAGGCGTAAGTAAATCAATGTAGCAGCAAAGGTGCGATCTAATGTAACACGGAAACTCGTCGTCGAAAAGCTGACAACACAACAGGTAACAGAAGCCTACTCCGCTCAACCTATCCACCTGCTTGACGAAACCACTTCTTGCCCCGTTAATAGTATAGAAGCACAATGGCAAAGAATTGCCCACTCCCTACAAACTGCAGCAAAAGCAACACTTGGTTACCAAAAAAACACCATCAAGAAACCCGACAAGAGTGTCGTAATGCTATTGAGGCGAAAACCCCAGCGTATAGGGCAACACTGCAGACAGTAGCAACACCTAATGCGATGGAAAATGATCGAGAGAAAATGACTCCTCTCTCCTTTTCAGAAAAAAGAACAAGAAAAAGTGCGCGTGTGAGCAAATCGAGATTTATAGGAGTCAGAATAAAGTCCGGAAATTTTACTGGTGACAGATACTGACAGCGTGTTGAGGATCTGGAAGGAGCATTTTGAAAAGCTTTTGGTATCAAATAGTGGCGGTGAAGAGGATACCCCAACAAGAGATGACGGTATAGATTGTATACCTCCTAGCCAAGATGAGATCAGAGTAGCAATTCATTACCTGGTGACAGATACAGACAGCGAGTTGAGGATCTGGAAGGAGCATTTTGAAAAGCTTTTGGTATCAAATAGTGGCGGTGAAGAAGATACCCCAACAAGAGATGACGGCATATATTGTATACCTTCTAGCCAAGATGAGATCAGAGTAGCAATTCATTACCTGGTGACAGATACAGACAGCGAGTTGAGGATCTGGAAGGAGCATTTTGAAAAGCTTTTGGTATCAAATAGTGGCGGTGAAGAAGATACCCCAACAAGAGATGACGGCATATATTGTATACCTTCTAGCCAAGATGAGATCAGAGTAGCAATTCATCGGCTGAAGAATAATAAATAAAGCAGGAGGAGCCGATGGATTACCAGCCGAACTATTCAAGACCGGTAGTCAGATGCTGGTCAGGAGCATGGTTAGAAGAATGCATTCCCAATGATTGGAACCCCAGCATCTATCCCTATCCGCTCATGTCTGCGTTTCGCATTCCTGAAAAATTAATTCTGCTATGCAGGATAACTTTAACTGGTACAATGTCAGCAGTTTAAGTTGGAAAGGACCTCTCGGAGCCCTTCAATACCGAACGAGGATTCAGACAATGTGACAGTTTGTCGTGTGATATTTTTAACATCCTGCTGGAAAAGGTCATACGAGACGCAAAGGTGAACAGAAATGGCACTTTTATCACCAATCAACACATGTTACTCGCCTACGCCGATGACATCGATATAATGGGTCGCACATTGAGGGCGGTAACAGCCACCTTTGAACGATGTGAGGAGTCTGCCAAAGTGGGACTGGCAGTAAATGGCGAAAAGAGCAAGCTGATGGTATCAACGCGCAAGACGTCTAGTAGACTCGGACCAACTGTGGAACTTGAGAACTACAGCTTCGAGATAGTCAAATATTTTATATACCTTGCTACCGCCATAAATAAAACGAATGACATCAGATGACCAACAGATGCTACTATGGTCTGAGCAAACAATTCAAAAGCAAGGTCACCTCCCGCCAGGCCAAACTCACACTCTACAAGACGCTGATATTACCCAGATCTGAAGCATGGGTACTTGCGCAAGCAGATGAGACAGCTCTTGGAGTGTTTGAGAGAAAAATTCTCCGAAAGATCTATGGGCCGATCTGCGTCGATTGTGAATATCGCCGTCGAATGAACCATGAGCTATACCATCTATTCTCGGACATCGACATAGTCAGACGGATCGAGCGGCAGCGACTACGTTGGCTGCGTCATCTTGTGAGAATGGATGAAGATGCCCCAGCTCAAAAGGCATATAAAAGCGAGCCAAGCGATGGTTCACGCAGAAAGGGAAGACCACGAACCCGATGGAAAGAGAGATTGATGGCCTGGTGGTGTTTGCTGATTACGAGCCACTTAAGTTCAATAAAACCTAATTTAGTATTTATATTTCAAACTCACATGATCCTTACACTATTGAACGTGAATAACTTTGCTCTTCGTAGCAATGAAAAAATAACGGACACAATCAGCTGTCACAAATAAAACTTCCTTGCCTCCTATTGCAAAAATCCCAACGGCGTTACAAAAACCAAACGTCATATGTAACGGCGGCATTGCAAAATGTATAACGTCATTGGCAACGGCGTTGCAATTTCTTCAGTATAACTACGTTTTTTAATCGTCATTAGAAGAGGAAAATTTATTTTATTTGGGCGTCAATAATAAAAAAGAAAAATAGTTTTTTGTTAGCCCAAAAACAAAAGTGTTTGCATTGTGTATATAATTTAGAAAAGCGAAAAAAACTGTGCAAAAATGTTAGCTTTGATCAACAGAATATTGGATTGGTTCAAGAGCATCTTCTGGAAAGAGGAAATGGAATTGACACTAGTTGGACTGCAGTATTCGGGGAAGACAACATTTGTTAATGTTATAGCTGTGAGTATATTTACTATGATGGTGTTTTTTGTGGCGTTTCTTCTCGCCAGAAAATGGATGGAAAGACAGATGGATGTATAGATGGACCCGATAATAAAAGTCCCATATATGTACATATATACACATTAACTCTTGGTGGCAGCACCTACATACTACAATGATTCTGATTCGGACTACTCATCAACGTATTAAAACATACTGTCATTAACCCCTCCGCCATCCTACTTCCCCTTGGTATCTTAGAGAATCGACCCTAGCCCGACCGCCCGCCCCATATATATGCTGATGGACTGCTCCGCTACCCCACATATTATTGTGTACTCTGCTGTGTGAGCGAGTGGTGTTTGAAATGATGGTGGAAAGTGTTTTGGGGGTGGTTTTCTTCTTATATGAGTGTTTTTTTCTTTCTGTGCTTGTAACATATGAAAGGCAAAAAGCCAGTAGCGGCAATGAACAATACACAAAGGAGGAGACAAAGAAAGAGGCCTATGACGGATGACGTTGAAGCAAACAACAAAACTTCCTCTAAGAGGGGGAAAAAACTAACGTAATAACTTGCCATGATGATATTTGTTTTGGCCCTTTTTTGGAAAATGCATCAAATTTTCCCTATCAAAAATGTGAAAACTTTTTGGATTTTACTCCGATTTTCATTAACAGTTAAAAAAGCTAATCGTAAATTGAGTTTTTGTTTGAAGCTCAGCTGTTTTTATCACCAGAAAATTGTCTTCAAATTTTAATGACTTTGTTTTTGTTGGTGATTAATTATTGCATTGTTCTCCTCGAATTTTTCTTCAACGATATGGGAGTATTGAATTACCCCCTATACTAAATTTTGTTGATATCTAAAAAGAAATGATTCATTGTGTATCTCAAACATTTGGTTTGGAGTCTTCGTGATACCCTACACCCTGCAGTGGGGAGCAATAAATTAATATTGAATCATGTCGTCCGGTTCTCCGGAACTGTTTAACCTCTACCTTTCCGGTATTTCACGCCCTCCGTACGGATCATGGCATCGGGTCCCTATATTAGGGACATATGTTTGAGGTTGAACGCCTATCTTGTCAAATTATTAGCCTTCTTAAAAGCGATGGATATGAAAATAATCCGGCACGAAGTCGTCAGCCACATTATTCACCACATGGACTGCCGAGATGCGAAGGCCGTTGATTGAACTGGTCGGCATACAATTCCGATCACCAACTACCCCAAAATACTCGGGGTCACATTCGACAGTATGTTTAAATCGACCGCGCAAACCACAGTTATCTGGAACAAAGTCCTCAAGTCGCTTGCCGGCAGCACTTAGGGTGCAAATGAAGAAACCTTGTTGACCTCTTATAAAGCGATAGGTCGGTCTTTGGCAAGCTATATATATTAAATTTATCAGTAGCTTGGGATACCATGAGGTGTTCCCGCTACCGAAATCCAACAATAATGCCAGCAACGGTGAATCAAGCAGACCGATTTCACTAAGATTCTTGAGGCATTCCTCCTCTCTCTAGCATTAGGGAAATCTATCCAGTTGCGCATCAGCAACCAGTGGAAGTAGCAGCATTTCTTAATTGGGAGTTCTCGAAGCCCTTGAGTAAAGTCCTCCATTGGGATAACTGAAATCGGTGGATGAGCAGTCAGTTCAACAAAATTATATTTAACAGGAGTGGATTTTTTTCCTTTTTAATAAATATATTTTATATTTTAGTATAAGTTTTAATATATATGTATATAAACAATTATTTTTACAAGTAGCACACACCACGGAATGTTCTCATTTGTAAATCACTTCTATATTGGATCGTGTGAAATGAAACAAATAATGTAATTTACCCACGACCTCATTCATTTTCTTATCAGTTATTTGCTTTTATGGATGGAGTTTACAAAATCTTCTATAAAAAACATTTCCAACTGAACTTTTATGAATAATTTCTTTTCTTTGTCTTCTTTTTTCCAGTCTGGTCAATTTACAGAAGATATGATTCCTACAGTTGGTTTCAATATGCGTCGCATAACCAAGGGTAATGTTACAATTAAAGTCTGGGATATTGGTGGCCAGCCTCGATTCCGTTCGATGTGGGAGCGATATTGTCGTGGCGTTAATGCAATAGTGTAATTATTTTTCAATTTTGAAATTTTTTTGAATGCAAATTTTACAATTTTTTTTAATTTATTTTACAGATATATGGTTGATGCTGCTGATTTGGATAAAATGGAAGCATCCCGCAATGAGCTGCATTCGTTATTAGATAAGCCACAATTAGCCGGTATACCCGTATTGGTATTGGGTAATAAACGTGATCTTCCAGGTGCTTTAGATGAAACTGGTCTCATTGAACGAATGTAAGTATAGATTTTTATTAGATGTTATTATACAGAAATCCACATTACATGTATGAGGTATATCGACAAAATAATAGGGAGATTTGTTATGAAGGTGTTCATGAATAAGTGAGACCACTCTAACAGGCTCATCAGAAAAGCACAAGGACAGACGAATTGAGGTATATCGCATTGAGATACTCTACAGCCATGGTACGCTTTTGATTTTACCTGGAGACCTTAAGGCAAAATAACCTGCTATTGTCAGTACTTAGTTCATAATTCCAAGTTTTTTTTTTGATAAATTCGACTGCTTTCGAGATTTTAGAAATCCCTTTTGTGAAAATGCTACAATGTCCATCTATTCCGTATCATTCGCAGCAGACATCCATTTCGGAACCGACTGTGTATATAGCCCAAGTGTGTATTTCTGGTAGACTGAAATCGATCAGATGATTGGAGATCTAAGTTTGTATTTTGAACAGCCTGAGAAACGCGTTGTAGGTAGGGACAACAATTTTACGCACTGCTTTTTTTCGTTCACCATGTGTCCCCAAACCAGGAAGGCTCTGCAACTTCCTTAACCACAGGAAAAGCTAACTGACAAGGTTTCAGGGAAGTATCGATAACTTCCAATAACTTCTGATGTTGACGTTGCAAAAAGAAGATTCCGGCATATTATTACAACTGCAGCCGCTACATTTATATCTGCCGAACTTGGCTGTGAGTAAACTTGGGTAACGATTAAGTTGCTCCTCAAACCCTGGAAATAAGCACGATAAGACCTCTGTAACATTTAATGACGAAAAAACAACAGTGTCTGATGCGAAGAAATCCGCCAGTTCCCGTGATGAGAATGCTGTTGAATGTGCAGTTCGAGCGGCCGTTCTTTACGCAAGGCTTGCCACCGAATCTTTGGCCATATTTTTACCACATGGACTGCAGTGATGAGAATGCCTTTGAATGTGCAGTTCGAGGGGAATACAAGTTCTATCACTAACTACCTGCCAAATTCTTGGGGCCACATTCGGTAGCCACTGCTATAGGCCAAATGTTAAAAAGTAGGAACAAGGTTATCATGTCGGTTTACTTGGATCGTAGATGAATCCTCTTATAAAGTGATAAATACTCGTTTCGCTTCCAAAAATAATTGTTTAAAAAATCCACGAGGCGAGGATTCTCCACTTCCTGCAGAGATATGTCCAGCAGACGCAGGCACCTGCTTCGCGCTCACTACTTTCTGCTCATCCAATAACAACTACCCATTTGTCACAGCCTTGGTTATCGGCTTTTGCAATTCGGCTCCATAAAGAGTGCTGTAATTGAGGGATTGAGGTCGACCATCGTATAGCCTCTTACCATGGTAAGAATTTGGCAACTAAGCCTGAAAAGCTTTTTGAGGCGTCCAGTTATCAACAAGGCTCCGTTCTAATACAGTCGGGACTGTGACTGCAAACCTTAGAACGCTGATAGGCACGAGATCGCATGACACTCCAGCGTTAGGGGGGAAACTTTAAGAAGGTAGTGGACCAAACCTTTGAGATGATAGGGGCGCCATTCTCGCCTCGTCGGCTCAGGGATCATTGGCACTCGGTCATTTCCTCCGAGAGTCTCCCCCTGAGACCGCTGATTGTCCGCGACTGTTTATTTGTTATTAACAGTTACCCAACGAATAGTATTGGGCTTCCCACTATCCGCAACCTGTGGACGCGCATTTAGCTTTGCTCCCCGTATGCAGAAAAGCCATTGAAAAAAAGTATTCTTTAAAAAATTCACGCCTTGTCTTCTTTAAAAAATTCACGCCTTGTGTAGGCCTTGAAAAAAGTCTTTTTTAAAAAATCTACGCCTTGTGTAGGCCTTGAAGTCTTCTTAAAAAAATCCCCGCCTCTGTTAGAGGCATCGAAAAATAAAGAATATGTCAACCCCATTTCGACGTCTTCCCTTGTTAGAATGTTAAAATAACAAATCTTATTGGAAATTTCCTTTGGTGTTAATTTGCTCAGTGTTGACAATTCACAATGGCATTTAATGCAATGCAAAGAAAATCTACGAAAAGTAAAGCATATTTTTAGGCGTTTTGAATGCTTGTATCAAAAAAGTGACATTTAATAAATTTTGTAGTAATTTAACACTAGAACGCCGAAGGCAGTCATTTTGACCGCTTTCCAGTTTCAAGTACAAGAGCAACTGTGCATTTAATGACACTTTTTTTTAAAATATGGTGACTTTCTGTACCTCATAGAATTACGTTTATTATAAAAAATTCACCAAATTTTAAAAAAAGTGTCATTAAATGCACAGTTGCTTTTGTACTTGAAATTGGAAAGCGGTCAAAATGACCGCCTTCGGCGTTCTAGTGTTAAGTACATTTTTGTAATTGAAATAACATTTTTATTAAATAAAATTTTTTTTTCTCGTTTTTCCAGGAATTTATCAAGCATACAAGACAGAGAAATCTGCTGTTATAGTATTTCCTGTAAGGAAAAAGATAACATCGATATAACGCTTCAATGGCTAATTGCACACTCAAAGAGTCAAAGTCGTTAGGATTTAACCACCGCACCCCACAGTGGCAAATCCCTCCGAAAGACTCTTGAATATATTTCTTCTTAATATATATAAATAAATATACACTTGTGATGTGATGACGAAGATGATCAGGAGAGGATGAATGATGGATAAAGTCAATGGCGGCGGCGGTTAGCAGTGACTTCGGCGGCGGTGGCGACATCGGCTGAATAAAACAAATAGGATAATAGACATTAAGCCAAAGTGAAAAAGAACTTAAAAAATAGAATTCGTTACACAAAAAATCTGATTCAAAGATACCTGGAGAATGGTGGGCAGAGAAGAATAAGAGTATGTGAAGATTTTGTTTAAAATGTTTTTTTTTTGTTTGCAAATTGGAAAGTAAGAAAAAGAATACAAAAGAAACACTCTATTAATCATCACATTCATTTTCTCATACTCGCATCTCCTTAATATAAAAAATATCGAATCAATCTCATGCTTTATAATATATGAACAATGAAAAGAAAGAAAAATAATCACCAACCAAAAAAAGACAAATTTTTATGGCAGAGTTTTATTAAAAAAAAAAGAAAGTTGTAATGGAGATTTAAGTTTTGTAATCAGGGCTGCACACAAACCATAAAAATGCCTTACAGTCGAGCACGCCAAAACAATAAGTTAATAGAAAAAAATAATAATATGGTTATAAGGGTGCTTATGGTTTTTATTATTTAATTTTAATTTTTTTAGCTATTTATTTTAATTTTTAGTAATTACCAAAAAATAAAAAAGATGCTTAAAATGACAAATTGCTTTATTAAATATCATTATCTTGCCTTGTTCTCCTCCTTGTATATCATCATCACAAAAAAACAAACACACACACAAACGTTCTGCAAACTTACCGCCTGCTCCTACTCGTCCTCCGGCGTTTTCAGCTGGCACCTTAGTTTATCTTCGTTTTCTGGTTTTAGTTTTTTTCTTTTTTTTGCTCTAATTTATTATTTCAATTTTTTTCTTTTTTTATATAATTAAAAAATTGTGTAAATTTTATAATTTTTTTTCTGTTACAAAAAAAAATATATTCATATTTTTAAAGCATATATGTATGTATCACACTACTAATACTAGTAAAACAAATGAATAAGAATTAAAAAATAATAATAAAAACAAATACACAATATTCTACTATATTTTATATATGTCTAGTGTATAAAAAACCAACAACTGTACATTTTCTATTATACGCCAAGCAGAAAAATGGGAAATAAAAGAAACGGCTCGAAAATCCAACAATGCATACATATATGTACATGCGATCTTCTTCTTATATAGTCTACATATATAACATATAGCTACCAAAAAAAAATATTATATATTCGATCTGTTTCGTACACTTTTTAGTAAGTTCTATTTGTTACAGAAGAAAAAAAACAAGATATTAAAAAATTCGTATCCCAAATGTTACCATTTCTATATTTAAAAAAAAAATGAACTAATAATTATGAAGAAAGAAAAAAGACAAAGAATTTTAATTGAGCATAAACAACAACAGAAGCTTTTAATATGATTTTTTTATTACATAATTACATCAACAACAACAAATAAAAAAACTAACAATCAATAATAAAAAAATAAACTAATTATAAATAAAAATAATAATAATAATAATAATAAACGAATTAGACAAAAAAATTAATTTGTTTCAGGGGATTTGAATTTTTTTTTTTTTCAAAAGCCTACACAAGTCGTGGATTTTTTAAAGAATTTTTTTCAATGCCTATATGAGGCATAGATTTTTTAAAGAATATTTTTTCAAGACCTACACAAGGCATAGATTTTTTAAAGAATATTTTTTCAAGGCCTACACAAGGCATAGATTTTTTAAAGAATATTTTTCAAGGCCTATATGAGGTATAGATTTTTCAAAGAATATTTTTTCAAGGCCTATATACTTACTTAACTGGCGTGTGACAGAACTTTTGTTCCATAAGCCGAGCTTAGAAGAGATTTCCAAGCACGTCGGACTTTTGCGCAGATTTTCCACTTTGAAATACCGGCAATGTTGTCTTCGACTTGATCTTTCCATCTGTTTCGTGGCCTTCCCCTTCTACGGTAACCATCAGTAGGCCCGCTTTTATATGCCTTTTGAGCTGGTTCATCTTCATCTATTATCACAACATGACCTAGCCAACGTAGTCGCTGCAGCTCAATACGTCTAACAATGTCAATGTCCGAGACAAGCTGGTACAACTCATGGTTCATTCGACGCAGATCGGCCCGTATATCTTTTGGAGAATTTTTCTTTCAAACACCCCAAGAGCTGCCTCATCTGCTTGCGTAAGTACCCATGCTTCAGATCCATATAACAGCACGGGTAGTATCAGCGTCTTGTAAAGTGTTTGTTTGGTCTGGCGGGAGGTGGCCTTGTTTCTAAACTGCTTACTTAGCATCTGTTGCCTATCCGTATGCTTCTCCGAATTTCAAAACTCATGTCATTAGTTTTATTTTAAAGTGATTATTTATATTCTTTCGAGTCGAGCTTAATGATCTAAGTTTTGCCATTATGCGACGCGTTTCGCCGTTGGTTAAGCGGCCCATCAGGCATATTGGGATATGTGGCTTTACAAAGGTCGTATGCTGATAACTTGTATTTATTCTGCCTTGATACGAAACTTGCATATGCGAATTAAATTCAAATTTGTCAAAGTTCGATATTTGTCTTCATTCTATGAACAGTCCTTTTCAAAGCAGATTTTTTTTTTTCATTAGTTTTATTTAAGGCGGTACCAAGGTATATAAAATCTTTAACTACCTCAAAGCTGTAGTTCTCATGTTCCACAGTTGGTCCGAGTCTACTGGACGTCAGCTTGGTCTTTTCGCCATTTACTGGCAGACTTCTTCCCAATTTGTTCAAAGGTGACTGTTATCGCTCACAATATTCGACCCATTATATCGATGTAATCAACATATGCTGTTTGGTGTACAGAGTACCATTTCTGTTCACTTTTTGCCTTTAGTATGGCCTTTTCCAGCATGATGTTAAAAAGACCACACGACAAACTGTCACCTTGTCTGAATACTCGTTCGATATTGAAGGGCTCCGATAGGTCCTTTATTAACTGCTGACCTTGTGCCACTTAAAGTTATCCTGCATAGCCGTATTAATTTTGCATGAATGCCAACGCTGTCGAATGCGGCTTTATAGTCAACGAACGTGTGGAATGTGTCGATGTGTTTTCGTGGGTTTTTTCAGAATCTGGGGCAGAGTGAAAATCTGGTCAATGGTGGATTTGCCAGGCCTGCAACCGCATTGGTGTGGACCAATAATATTATTGGCCATTGGCTTCAGTCGTTCGTTCAACACCCTGGATAGCACTTTATATGCGATGGAAAGGAGGCTATTTCCTCTATAGTTGACACATATCGTATTGTCTCCTGGGCACGGGACACATGATGCTGAGGTTTCAATCATTGGGCATGCATTCCTCTAGCCAAATTAGCTGGTGCAAGCTCCTGACCAGCATCTGACCACTAGTCTTGAATAGTTCGGCTGGTAACTCATCGGCACCTGCCGCTTTATTATTCATCAGCTGATTAATTGCTTTTATAACCTCATCCTGGCTAGGTTCTGTGGTAACTTCTTTGGCAATTCTTTGTCATTGTGCTTCTATACTATTAGCAGGGCAAGAAGTGCTTTCGTTAAGCAAGTGGGTAAGTTGAGCGGAGTAGGCATCGGCTACCTGTTGTCTTTGCAGCATTTCGACGTCTCCTAGCAGAATTTTAATGTCATGGCCAGGGCAGCGATCATATGCTGCTTTTAGGCGCTCATAAGTCTTATTATTATTCGCTCATCTACTAAATCTGGAGACGAGGTTTTTTATTCTCCTATTAGCCATAAATCCGCAGCCAAATTCATGACTCGTTTAATGGCAGCTATAATACAGTGCGTAATCATCTGATTTACTTACGCCAGTCCCTTTCCATTGGCTTTGCACTTTTTGAGTACATCCGCCAAAGCGAAAACTGTGTCTGTTCTGTACAAGGTGCGCACATTCCAAGTGCAGATTCGCACCTGAAACACGTAAAAAATAATTAGTTTTTTTTTAATCCATGCCCCCTTAATTTTTTTATGAATCCTATTCATTTTTATATATATCCCACCTACTATATTTTATCCAAGCTTTCCTATTAATTCCTCCAAAAAATAAAATGCCCTGTCTCTTGTAAACACGTGCTTAGTAATAATATAAAATATGCCGCGATTTTCTTCGATAGCATTGTCAACACTGTTTTGTCTCCATCACTTCCTTGAGTTGTCAATTAAAAGAAAATAAACGGCGAATTCTTTCCGGTCATTACAAATCTTTGAATTCAATGAAATATTCCCCTATAAATAATAAAAAAGTTTAAATAAATGCAATTCCAATTCTATTTCATATAATAAAAATAAAAGTGATTTCGGTAACAAATTTGTTATGAAAAGTGCATTTCTTTTTTTTTCAATTAACTCCTCTCCTCCTTGGCTCACGTCCTATTTGGTTTTAGAATGTTCAGAGCCATGTCTCCATATGTAGCTTAAGCTACGAATTTGACTTTATCCATAGATGGTGGTTTGTGTTTTGCAGGTTGACTTCGATCTTCTTTAAGAATTTGACCACAATGTTCAGACTTTCTAAGCCTTGTGTATCAGTGAACTCTTCTACTGTGAAGGAGTCACATAGTTGCGAAAAGCATCTTCCTTTGTTATTAAATTTACGAAAATTAAAAATTTCATGCGCAGCTATTTGGATTCTGTTGAACGACTCATAATTTATAGGTTATCCGTATTTAAAAACACACGTGTTAGTTAAGCGAACGCTTAACAACCGCCATTTTGTAAAAATCTATTTTTAAGCCCGTGGGCGTGTAATACTCATTTAAAATTTTTACGTCTTTCTTGTGAGCCGTCCGAGGACGAACTGAAGTGCATTTCTTCTTTACTCTTCAAATGTGTTGCAATCTTTGTTGTTGTTCCTTTGTATATTGGTGGCAGTGCTGCCAGTTAAATTTCATGAAAAATCGT